GAAAGCACCTAGCCTGTAAATCGAAAACATAGATACATGAAAAGTCAAATATATACAAGCCAAACCCCCCACAACACCACACAACCCCATCTATCCTGCCAACTTCGTAATCGGCGCCTGACCCGGATAAAACCTCACCGGCCACTCCGGAATCGGAATCTCCTCATCAATTCCGAACCCCTCTTCCAAATCCCCCGTCATACTCTCTGCCTCATACCCCTCCGGCGCACTCGTTTGCGTGTCCATAACCGGCGCATACGCCCCTCCAATCCCACTCTTCAAACACGCCCCAATTCCATACGCACTCTTACACCGATTAACAACCTTACTCCCTACCTCCGTCCACATGGCAAAATCCTCAATCGTAATACCCGTACATGGCGTCTTATCCGCGCACACAACCTTCACTGGACCACGCTGTGCGCCATTCGCAACGGTGCCTTTCCAGTTCCTAGCAGTGATGTTGGTGAGCTGGACACCGTCTCCGGGGAGTGTAGTCATAGACGCCCAGGCTTGGTCGATGTCGAAGGAATACGCGTTTCCGTGGCCGATGAAGTTTTCAAAGAGGACGTCTTCGAGGTAGCCACTTCCGCCGTTTGACTTGATCATCATCATTTGGTTGGATTTGGAGGTGTATATGTTGCGGTAGACGATGGAGGAGATTGCGGTGTTGACGGCGAGGGAACCGATGGCACAGCCGCCGCTGGAGTTACAGTATATGTTCTCAATTAGGATGTTTTTGGAGGGCGATTTTACGGTTACGCATTCGTCTTTGTTGGTGACCATTATCTGGGGATTGGGTTAGGTAGAGAGGGGAAAGGGTGTGCGGGATACGTACGTCGTGGATCCAGATGTTTGTTCCTGTTACGTCCACGCCGTCGAGACCGCCTTCTTCTCCACCGCGTATCGCCATGTTGTACGCTTCGCCGTTGGTACACGTGTGCATGACGAAATGAAACATAGGCGCATCAACGAGTTTGATATCGTGAACCGAGAAGTTATCCGTCTGTTCGAGACGCAGAATCCTTGCTTCATTCCGCTTCCCGTTCTTGTGGTCTTGATACCCATAGCCTACCCAATGTGTCAGCACTGAACAAACCCCAAAACCCACCTCATATATCGCACTTACCTTGTACAGCCCCCTTCCCCATACTACTAAACATCTCAAAATCATCCGCATTCCTCACAAACAGCATATTCCCCGACGCACTCCCCGTCCGATAAATCACACCATCAAGCTGCAGCGCCCATGCTTTCCCTCCTTCAAACGTCACCCAAGTCGCCAGCGCATAATCTCCCGAAGGAATAACAACCGTCCCACCAGCCTTGCACGCTGTAAACGCAGACAAAAGCGCAGGACTTAGATCCGTCGCCTTATCCGCCTTGGCACCATAGTCAAGTACGTTGCAAATCTTGACAGCCGATTTAGACGCATGAGTAGTTAGAGGCCCGACCTTTCCAGATAGTTGTGCGAAGGCTGGTGCGATTGCAGTAGCGGCGAGGAGGAAAGTTGAGAGCTGCATTGTGTAGAATGGAAGGGGCTGCACAGCAGCAACGAGTAACCGGGATGATGTGAAGGAGGAAAAAGGATCAAAGATGTTCTTCTTCCGCAGATGATGAAGATCAGGAGAAAACAAGCCTTTAATCCCCGTTGCACATCTCTCATCTCATCATCTGATAGCTCATCTCATCTCCAACTCCCCAATCTAACGCACCCCAGCAGCGATCAGAACGTGCCCACATACCCGCACCTGCAATCTCGATGGAGAAAGCTACGCGAGATATATTGCGGCCACGTGCCACTTTCACCCATTTCATCTCGCGGCCTTTCCATAACTATCGTCAGCATCGCGTCTATCTTGCTTTACCTTCTGAGTCGGTAGTTAACTCGTAACTATCAGTGGAAAGATAGCCGAACACGAACCTGCAGAAAGTACACGCACGTCAGCACTATATCCCACGCATGCACGCAGCACCCAACACCGTATCTTCGGTAAGCAAGAAAAGCTTATCGGGTGTTGGCAAAGGCTTGATTTTCAGCCGCGTTTCATGTTTCCGCGTGATCTTGTGCGTGTCTTCGAGTTTGTGGTCTCTGGGGGGCGTGCGGGGTATGGAGAGAGAGAGGAAAGGAGCGGGCGGCAAAGAGATGGTGAGGGAGGCAGGCCGTCGCTGGCTGTTTTAGGTAGATTACATCTAGCCACCACGCGTGCAAGGGACGAACCAACGGTCTGGAGAAAATCTCTGATATCTACGTTTGATTTTTGGAGCTGATCTGGTAGGCAGGTAAGGCAGACTGCCACACCATCCATCCGCATCGCACCAAATCACCTAATAACGCCCTTTTGTACAAACCAACTAGAAAAATACTACTTCCGAAACCCCCCATACTAAACTCCAAACGCAGAAAAATATGCTGTAAACGACTCCCCCCTCGAAAGCCAAACAGAAAGTCCGACTAGAAAAAAAATCCAATCCAAGAAAGCCCTAATAACTCCGATCTGATCATTGAGAAAAAACCCTTTTTCTTTTTTTCCTTCAGGCAAACACCCTACGCCAAACCCAGAACAACGAAAGGCTCACAAGTAGCCCATCCAGAGAGGATCACACTGCGCCAGCTTCGCCGGATGCACAGCCACTGCCACGAGATCAACGACCGTCTGATTCGCAGGGAGGTTAGCTCCAGTGGGCAAACTACCAATAGCGCTAGCGCGCTTAACCACCAAGTCGCTATTCTGCTGGACGCTCTCGCGGAGGACATCAGGCGTAAGCTGACTAGCCTTGTGCTGACTAGTGAACCAATGATTCATCTCATCGCGCATGAAGATACTAAGTTGCATTTCGAGCTCGCCCTCGGGTTCAATTAGACAACGAGCGACGGTCATGACACCGGGCGCAAAGATACCCTCGAGGTTCAGGGGTCCCATGATGGTTTGCAGGTTGGGGGTCAGGCGGAAGGGAACAGGCTCCGAGTTATGGAGTTGGGGTTTTCCGACCGCCATGCTAGGGATCAGTTCGGAGCCCCAGATGCGACCGCTCGAACGCGAGACGGTCATCTTTTGTGGGTAGCGCGTGTTCATGTGCATGACGTAGGTCATGAAGGTGAGGGCGGCGAGTTGGTAACTGAATGTGCGGCGGAAGAGCCAAAAGTCGTCGAAGGCGGGGAAGGTGGCGCGGAAGTAGTCTTGGACGACTGTTGGAGGCACGTATTTCTCTTGCACGGCGGCGAAGGTCTCGAGTTTGATGCTGTTCGCGTGCTCGGTGCTCTTCTGTAGGCTTGGGTTAGTGGCTGGTGATATGCAAAAACTGGGGATTGAACTTACAGGCTGCAGCGCTCGTAATTTCTCGATGGTGAAGAGTACAGGTTCATCCTTGTTGATGCCGTTCTTACGGCAGTAGTCCTCGTAGATACCTTGCATGTTGATGTACGACGAATCATCTTGTACCATGCGCACACTAGGCGTGATGGGAACGATGAGTGGAAGATGGAACTGCAAATTCCTCCTCCGGCTCTCCTTGCGCTTGGCGAGAATACCGTTAAAGATTCTGAACAGTTGCAAGATGCGCTCTTCACGTCTCGAGCTTCGAGCAGCGGGAAACTGGATAGCGAAAGGGTGGATGCTTCCGTCATGACCACGGATCTTGAGACGACGGTGACAAATGCCGACACCGCGCACCAGCTCAACGTCGGGAAGGAAGCGCTCAATGCGCACAAAGTCCGAGTTCTTGTCGCGATGTTGTAGATACTGGCCGGGCACTTCGACGTCATCAAACTTGAGGAAACGGAACTCGCTGAGTTGGTGCGTGTACTGCTCAAGCGGAACACTGAGCTTCCTACGATCAAGCCTCTCCTCAAACCGATTTCGCCATACGCGCAACTTCTGGATGTACTCGTACATGGTCGGCTTGTGGGTAACAAAGTCCTTTTCGAATGCTTTGCGGATATGCGGAGGCAGGACAGACTCAGCGAAACGTGTGATATTCGCTTCGGTGGATGCTGGCAGCTTGATCTCGCGGGCATACAGGTTAGGTTGACGGCCCACATAAGACAGACCATCATTGAGTAAGGCCACGATAAGCCTATAAGCATCTTCGTCTGGAGGGCACTTGAAGTTCTTCTGGATTTGGTCGAGCATTGTCTCCATGGATAGAGCCAGGAGAGGGAATGCCGTCTTGAGAATGGCGCTGATCTCCTCCACATGATCCCAGGGCTTCTTGGGCGCTGGCGGATCGGCGGGAGCAGGTGCGCCGTTAGGGGCAGGGCTTCCTTGCGGTGCACCCTCTGCCTTGACGGCACCATTGACATTCGCAGCAGCTTTGTTGTCAGCTCCCGCGGTTGTTGGTCGACTTCCAGCGCTTGAGTTAGGCCGAACCTCTGGTGAACCCTGCTTTGTTGCCGGTGAGCCTTGGGCCGGTTGTTGTTGTTTCGCCTTTGCCGCCTTCTCCTTGGCCTCCTTCTGTTCATGTGTCTTCTTGAGCACAGCCATGTCCTCGCGCGTCGTCCGGAGATGGCAGTACAGTGCCTGTGGGTAGGTCTTCGCAAGCTTGCCGAGGATGGATCGCGCGATAGGCGCTTCCTGTCGCGAGAGACTGTTAAGCAACTGCGGGATGTAAGTAATCCAATACCATGCCGGCGTATCCCCCTTGAACTCCTCAAACTTCTCTGCCAACTTTCGCTCAGGGTTGTCCAAGCTGAGCAGCCATAATACACGTCCAAGCAGCTTCCTTGACTTGGCATTCTTGAACTGGCTAGCAGCTTCCAAGTAGCAGCTGAGCGCCGCTTCAGCCCTTTCCAGGTTGTGTGGCTCCTCTTTGAACAACATGTCGTTGTAACGTCCCCACTCTGCCCACGCCTTGGGCAACTTGATATCAAAGTACAATGCCGTTCCAAAGGCCTCGCCAGCCTCATTCTTTTGTCCCAGTTTCGCCAAGAACATGCCCTTGAGAGTATAGAACTCTGCCTTTTGACCCGGTCCGAAGTAGTTGAGGTTGGTGTTGTTGATGACATCTAGGCCGCTGTTGAGATCAGCCCTGATCTGGTAGTGGCATTTGGCCTGTTCGCGCAACTTCAGGAACGCTTCTTGAATCTCAATGTTAGGGAGAGTGTAGATACGCCCAAGCTGATTGATGCACACATCCGGAAGGTTATGTTTGCGTGCTACGTGTGCAAAACGATTAATGATCCATGCAGTCTCGTGGTAACCTCGGTATGCGAACGAGTTGCCACTGGCATTGTTCTGGTTCGGTGGCAACAGATTAAGATAGACGCCGTTGATCAGTTGGAAGATGTGTTGACGCCAAGTGACGAGATCTTGCCATGCGTTGATGTCATCCCAGAAGTTCGGTAGTCGGTCCCGCCAAGTGCTGAGAAGCAGTTTAAGCTCTTGAGATTTGACGTCAAGGTTGCCCGAGTTGGTCTGAGCAAGACTTTGGCAGATGACACTGGCGTCATGCAACTCGACTAGCTGCTGGAAGTGCTGCAAAAGTGGGATGTGTGCCTGCGTGATGCGTCGCGGTAGCTGGTGCCACTTGCGAATCGACAACTGGATAGATTCATCACATAAGCGATGAAATTCCGGTTGCAACTCTTGCTTGTTGTGTAGTTTGAGGAGTGACATGAATGTCTGGAAAAAGACTCGTCGCGGCGTCGGTGCGTCGCTAACAGCTTTGATCGTCGCTTCGAGCTGCTCGCGGGTTTCAGTGTTCTGCCAGGCATCAAAGACCCGCCACGTAGACTCCAAATAGAGATCGTTGAAGTTTTCGTGCTTGGCGAAGTCGCTCAGTATCTCCCACTGCTGCAGCTTTTGCGCGCAGATGACCCAGTGATCCTCCCACAGCATATACTCTCCAGTACTAAAGGGGAGTACAGACGTGCGGGCCTTGATTTGCGCAGCCTCATACATCTGCTGGGCCTTGTCCCAGATACCACATTGCTCATATGATAACGCGGCATTGCTCTCGATGAACTGACAGCGTCGACGCCATGTCCCATAGAAAAGATCGTCTTCCTGCAATCCATTGTAAATCTCCAGCAGTGCATCCAGGTTGCTCTCACGGAGCTTCTCCACATCGACAACTGGTGAAATGGCCGAGTCTTCCATATACACAGCAGCAGTGTACCAGGCATTGTACGTCTGTGCCAAGTACTTCATAATGTGAGGCGGGAACTTGACACGTGGGCGAGAATGGACAATGGCATCAAGCATGGTCGCGACGCAGTTCGGACGCTTGTCGAGTTGGCGAGAGTGGTAGTCCTTGGTGAGCAATGCTGCCATGCCCTTCTCAAGATCGCTTTGATCATCCTTGGTGAGGGCGGTCCAGGCCAAGGGGAAGAAAGCAACCCATATGTCGTGCGCGAGGTTGCTATCGGTGTGTTGTAGATGTCCAAGCGGTTCGAAGATGTCCTTGATCTTGACATCAGCTAGCTGGTTGCAGAAGCGTCGATGCCCGTTGATGAACTTCTCCAACTCATCATCAACCATGACATCAGGAATCCTAGAATCCCTGCTGAAAGAGCCGAACAAGGTTGTAGGCTGGATGAGACGGAAGTCCTCGGCATGGAGCTGCGCTGGCGTGTTCATCTCAACGGAGCCAAACATCAGGTGAATGACCTGGCTCAGCCAATAGCTGTCGGAGAGTGTGTCCCAATTCTGGGAGGCCAGAACGTAGCTCAGGCGACTAGCCGCCGTACGGCTCAAGCTCTTGTCAAAAATGGCCATGTAGCGATTCCTCATCTCCACATCCTGAGCCCGCGTACCAATCAAGAAAGCATGCTCCATGCGTACTGTGAGCTCGCTTCTAGTGATCTTCGGGTCCTCATAGATGCGAATGACGAGGTCCAAGAAACGGGTCAACAGCGAGGTGTCGGCACGATGTTCGAAAAGCAGCATCTTGCTAAGAACCGCTGTCTTTTCCTTGAGGGTCGGCACAGGCTCGGTGGAGTGGAAGATCCATTCCTCCACGAGATCTAGGACCTTCATACACACAGAGTTGGTCTGCGATCGCTCAACAAGAGAGGCAAGAACGCTGAGGTATGGCCGTCGATTTTCGCCAAGCTCGTTCATCCTAGCAGCGAGAATGTCGACAGTCTTGAGTACCAAGTCAACTTGGATCTCAATTTCGCGAGGATCGCTAGGTGGGTTTGCTCCCTCTGGCCGCATGTTGGGTGGTACGGGCTGGCCCGGAACACCGTTGATGGGAAGATGATCTTTCGCTATCTTGCCCTGGAAAGCCTTCATGACCTGCGGGATATGTTGATCAATCTCCTCGGGTCGCTTTTGGCACAGTGTCCACAAGATGTTAATGGCGCTCACGTACGAGCTGCTGCCGAGTGCCTCCGTGGCGATAGTGCCGAGGAAGCTGACAAACTCAGTAGATGGCGATTCTTCAATGTTGCCTTCGTCGTCGGTAACAGGCTCCGGCATGACCTCCAGTAGACGCTTGAGAATGGGCTTAAGCTTCATAGCACCATCTTCTGACTGATCAGTCGCATGGAGACTGGCCTGCACATCCGGGTTCTCGGACCGGATTGGCTTTTCCAGGATCTTTTGGAACTGGGGAATACGCTGCAGTACCCAATCGTCTGGTTTGACGTTAACGATGACCTTGACAATTTGGAGAGTGTTGATCATGCGGGTGCTGAAAGCCTCGACCTTGTCGTCCGGCTTCATCTCCGTCAAGAGAATCTCCTCAATCTTCTTCGTAAGCATGAGATCAAGATCCAAGTCATTCCAAAGTCGTGGCGAAAGCAGATCATGCAGGAGCTGCACGGCCTTCCTACAGATCTCAGCAGGCTGCGGTGCGTTGCTAGCTAGTGCGGTGGCATCCTTGGGCTTTGGTGAGGCAACCGGATAGCGCTCAGGCAGGTACGCAATGAACTGGATGAGGTACTTAACCAACATCATCCGGATACCAGCTACTGCAACAAAGCCGCCCCTTGGAGCCACCACTGATCCGTCCGCGCGTCTCTTGACAGCTTGAGGAGAATCTGACGGACGGTCAGTTGAACCAGCGCTTTCACTTGCCGTGCGCTCCTCCCAAGTCCTAATCAGACTTATCAAGTTCAAAGCAAGCTTCTTCGCATCGGCCGACGGGTTGGGAGGTGTCGCAATCTTAGATAGCGCTGTAATGATGATGGGGGAAAGATGCTCTCTGCCTTCATAGAAAAGGTCGGGATGTCGAACCACAAATTGGAAGATGCTCATCAATTGTTGCAGATTAGAACTCTCTTCAGAGAGAATCTTACGCGGGTACTGGATCCAGCGAGGCATCTTGGAGTCGGCGCCAGGCACAGGTGGCATTCGCTTCTTCAGGACTGGGGCCATGAGTTCAAGAGCTTGCATCACCAACGAACGACCTTCGTTCTGGTGCGCTTTGAGGAGAGCCTGGTAGACTTGGACGGCAATCTTGACGGGCGTATCGAAGGCGGCGATGAAGAAGGCAATGAGTACGTATGCTGCGTACTTGTTGATGATGTCTTCGAGCTTGATGTAGTTCCAAGCAAACTTGATGACATCCTTGCGTGCTTCCTGGATCATGCCGGGGTAATGCTTGAGGAGGAGTGTAGTGAGTTGAAGAAGCTCCATCCGCGAGTGGTCAACACCAAGTTGAGCGGTATCCTCCGAAAGTTCCAGGGTCGACTGGGGCTTCCAAAGCCGGCTATGGATAGCCTCAGTCATGGCCTTATCCATGAATTTGGTACCCTTGGACTTCTGATCAAACAAGCTATCCCAGTTGCGCTTCACATCCATGGCGAAGATGGGGTTGACAATGTACCGGAATATGAACGTCTTGGTCTTCTGCGAAGAATTGCGAGACGTGTACAAGTCAATGCACTTGTTCACGATCGTCTTCCAGTATTCCACAGACTCACTCGATATGATCTCATCGTATATGAAGTCGAACAATCGTGGTGAAGCCTTCATCTCTTCAGATGTGACAGCATCAACAACTTCGAAGAAGAAGTCTAAGCTGCTCGGCTCGTGCTTGAGATACGTCGTGAAGATGATCATGATCTGATCACCAGCCTGCTCGGTCGCCAGGCGCAGCTCCGCTTCAAGGCTGTTGACCCTGAGTTTCTTCTCCAAAGAACGTGCCACATCAAAGAGACCCTTTCGCAACGAATCATTAGATACAAGCCATTTGCTCGTCTCCTCAGACTGACTCAATGCATACGCGATGTGGATGCCGTTGAGCTGCGCTTGGCACTTCTCCTTGTCGGTACCCTCAGGGTTGATGGCGCTCAAAAAGCCAGGGACGTCTTCCATTACCTGCTTGCGAAGTACCTCGCTGGCAGGGTTCTCGAGTAGCTGGGCGAAGAAGCGTCCTTGTGTTTGGTCCTTCAGGTTGGGCGCGAAGTACTCCCAGGCTTCCTTGGGATACATGCAGAGGTACTTGATCAGCGGTTCTCTGAATGGGCTGTAGTGCGTTCTCCTTAGTGCAGTCTCCAGCTCAATAACCTTTTCGATGATCTGCTTGAGGAAGGTGGCTGCTGCTGCAGGCAACAGGTGGAAGATGTTGAAAATGCCTGTCACGATCTTCATCTTGGGGTTCTGCTCGATCATGGTGAACGAGATCTTCTGGAGACTGTTCTGGTCCGCGATGCTCTTGAGATGGTCAAGTAAGCGAGTTCCGATCTCTACCTTGAAGTAATTCGTAAGTAGCTTCAATAAGCGCGCAAGACCATCAAGGTTTTCCACGGAGAGCTTCCGTGGGTCCTGAAGGTTGACCAGAATAGGCCGAAGACCGCTTTGCAAAACATCTTTGGGCAACTTGTTTGTCGCGGAGATGACACCTGACAATCCAATGTTGGCTGCTTCGATAACTTCCGGCGACTTTGAGTAAAGGCATTTGAAGAAGACGGCGATAATGCGGAGGAAAGTCTGGTTTGGCGGTGTAGTACTGAACTCGGGAAAGCTCTGGGCAGTGGACAGAAGACGGATACATGCTACTCGTAGACTGACGATGTGGTCCGCGTTTCGCTGTTCTGTAGGCTTACTTGCCAGATGCTCGTCCTCAGCATCCGCCAACGCAAGAGACTCCATCAACAGCCTAGTCAGCTGCTCGTTGAACTCGAGAATGCCATTCTTGAGTTTTAGACAGAAAGTAATGGCGTCAATGTAAGCGATCTGGATGCTGAAGGGTAGCGCTCGTAGTGGCTTCGTCCAGATTGGCAGAATAAGCCTATCTTTCACGGGTGTGATAAGGTCGCTGACACTCAGCTCCGTGACTTCTGACAATACTTGAAAAGCCTTTTGGGTCGCTTCTCGTACACTCTTGTTCATGTGCGAGAGATCACCCACAAGCTGCTGGCAGAGCTTCAGCGTAAAGTTGTTGCCCTTGTCAAAGCCCCTGTCAAAATCTTCTTTCGCCGTTTTCTTGTGACAGCGACGAATAAGATCCTGAATGAGTCCCTCGGCCTGTATGCGCGTCTTTGAGTCGAGATCGATAGGCATGTCCTTCATAACGAAGTTGAGAGCTCGGACGAGTTCAAAGTGGCGGGGGATTAACCACGACAGAGGAAGACCCAATTGCTTAATCATGATCTCGATACCACGCGTACCTCCAGACTTCATGAACCAATCATCGGCGTGGCAGTTGTGGCAAAAGGTGCTGGAAAGCTCGTTGAAAAACTGGAACTTGTCGAGTGAACTGTCGTTTCCGAAGATTGCTTTTGTAGCGTCTCGCATAGTCAGGATGGCTTGCTCAGCAGCATCGCGTACGGCACCGTGCTCTGAAGCCAAAGACTCTCCGATAGCTTCGGAAATGACGTCGCTCTCGATTACGACAGGGCCTTCACCGGAATGGACGTCAAACGGCTTGGTCTTATGCTTCACCGTGGCGAACTGCGTCCCGAGTTCTAGCAGGGTAAAATGTTTTGCTAGATTGCTCACCAGAGCCTCAGCATCTACCTTGAGCTCAGGTATGGAGACAGCAAAGATGCACGCCTTTATCAGCTTCTTGAGGTTGTCCTGTTCCACGCTCTTTTTGGTAATTGACTTTTCGCGTTCAGAGGCTGTGAGTATGTCGTATCCAGCATCAATCTTCTTCGTACATAGATCATTTGCCTGTAGTCGCACGAGCTGAGCAAAATCCTCCGGCAAGCTGTCGAAGCCGACCAGCAGCTTCGTGTGCGCTGTGATGAGACGAAGAGCCTGTTGCTTGTGGAAAGTATCCGACTTTTTCGCTGCCGGTGTCTTTGGGATTTCGTGGAGTTTGGCGATGGCAGTATCAATGCCTATCGCTGCAGGGAAGGCGCGGTCCTTGGTAGATCCAATCAATCGAATATCGATGGATGATTGGTCGTCAGAGTATGGCTTGAAATTCAGCTCAGGTGGACCTGTAATGAACTTCCGGTTGCGGCCGCCAAGCTTGCCCAATATGCGCATTGTGGTATGAGCATGGAAATGGCTGTATGGGTTTGGTTTGAGATGTTCCCACAACGCAGCCATCAGCTCATCGATGACAGGTGCCATTATCGGGTCCAGATAGTCCGCGGTGAGGTTATCAACGCAGAGCTCAAGGGTACGAAGGCCTTGACCAACGAGATCAGACCCGGCTCGTAAGGCTACGACCAACGGCCTCATCAGATAGCTGAGATGTGGCAGAAGATTGCTAAGTCGTGCTGGTACTGTGAGAGAGAGTTCGACGAACAAATCTCGTTCCGCAGGCTTGCGTGCCGTCAGCAGGAGATTGTTCAGAACGTCTAGCAACATTTCCAGGAGTGGAAGAATCTCCTTGTACAAGTGCTCGAAGCGACCGCCACCTATGCTGCGAAACAGTGATCTAAGCAGTAGGAAATAGTTCATCGGCTCCTCTGCTGTCGTTGATAGCTGTATTGACTTGGTGATGATCGTTTTGACGTGTGGTAAGAGGACCTGCTCATTCTGCGCCGAGAAGAGCGTAACAGCCATGAATGAGAGCTTGAAAAGTCGAAGCAGGATTGAAGACTTCTTCACATCTGCTGTGCCCACCTCCTCGATTCGATCCATTAGGAACTGGAGCAACATGCCGGAAAAGCTGGGCGACGTGGCCTCGGAAGCGAGAAGAAACTGTGGAACGTGGAGTAACGCCGGGTGATCGAACATCATATCGTACAAATGGGGTATCTCGGATGAAAACACTTCGTGGAACGTAGCCGGGTCAATGTGATGGAAAACAGTCGCAAACGTCTCCAGTAAATCCTTCTCCTCCTTGCCGCTTGACATCATGTGCTGGTTACCCATGAAGTCTCCTGGTGACAAGCCTTGGGTTTCCGGGGTCTTGTCTGTGCCGTAATAGCGAAACACTCTGGCACCTTCGCGGAAGAGCTTGATAAGAACTTCGACCTCTTCTGCATTGTAGCCAAATGACACCTCGTGCCAGTTCGCAGATGCGTTGGTAGGGTCGATCTCTTCTTTAATCTTGGCCGGATTACATGCACGTAGCTGGTAGAAAAGATTCTTGAGTCCGTGGAGCAGGTTCTTGAACAAGAACTTGTTGTCTGCAATCGGGTCAGAGCTCCGATCTCTTGGATTCGATGTTTTTATGGGTGTTGCGTTGAAAATATCAATCTCGTCCCAGTCCGGAGGGTTGTCTTGGACGGCCATGTGGTTCTCGTCTACTGCATCGATAGATGGCTGACTATATTGCGCCGAGAGTTTCACAGCGTTGCGATATTGGCGGTTCATCGCGGAGAACTTGTCGCCAATGGCGTTCAGAATCATGATCAAGAAATATCGAGCATCTTCCTTGGGCTCTAGCTTCGCGATACACTCAGCCATATTTAGCAATAGCTTTGCGCTCATGGTCTGAAAGCTAGTCCCAGGAAACGAGTCGTGCAGATTCTTCGTATACACCTCCACCGTTCGCCGGATTTGCTCTTTCGATAGCGAGTCTCGTAGGTGGTGAATCAGGTCAGCAAGCATGCTATATGCAAGCGGTCGCATCGTCTCGTACACAGTGAGGCCGTCGCCAATCAGTGTCCTCTCGTCCAGTAGTTCATCGATCTTGCTCAGGAACATTTTCCGGAAATTGAAATTGATGATGTGTCTTATCGCCACCAACAGTTCTTTCCGTGCGCCGGATTTCTCTCGGGGGCAGTCCTTGAGGAGTCGAACGACGATGTCTGGTAAAGTTGGGAGGAAGTCATTCAGCTGACTAGAGTAAACCCTTAGTAAATAAGCCAGAAAGCTCATAGTTTTGACTTGAGCTGTGATGAAGTCGCCAAACGCTGCACGATTGCGTATCTCCTTGCTGACTCCAGTGAAGATCTTGCCCTGAGCCTTTGCCTCCTCGTGTGCCTTCTCTTGTGGTTTTGCTTGGAGCAAGAGTACGTTCTTAATCAGCGGAACGAAAAGTTTCACGTTCTTGTTCACGCAATTCCTATATGCCTGGAACAGTGATACCACGATAATGGGACATTCTGCAAGGACTTTGAACGATTGCATTCCCTTCAAGAGCATGCGTGTCTGCTGGTGTTCTGACCCAATGTCGCTTGATGAGCCGGATGTGAGAGCGGTTGCTGGCGAGCTCGGGCGTGGCGACTGGGAGAATTGGTGGTTATTCGGGGTCGAGGGAACGCCCTGCGAGGCTGTGGCAGGTGTGTTGCTATCGAAGGTGTCGTGTACGGCCTGTTCCATGGTCTCGAACATCTCCTGAATGAGATCCAAAAAGGGTTGCACCCGATCCGCCAGCGCCTTTGTCTGATGGCGCTGGAAGTCCATGATGGTCTTCATGCATAGCACCGCATTGTCCTCGTTCTCCAGCTTCACTAAACTCATGAGCTTGTCCACGATCTTGGCGGCATGCGGTTCGATGGCTTCAGTCGGGTTCATCGGGAGGCGGTGCAGGATTTCGAGAACGCAGTTCCGTATTCGCTGTTTCTGAGTCAGAATGCTATATAGGTGTCGCAAACAATCTTCTCACCTGTTCCGGCGACGTGGATATGAAGACAGGGTTACCATCTAATATCCTCAGGAAAACGGGGACGAGGTGGTTCAAGAATGCGCCGTACTGCTGCCCTTGACAGTAGCTCTCGATGTTGTCCCTTATTTCTATCGCTTGGGTGCCCTTTGCCCTGAGATCTGCTCCAGTCAGCCTATATTTCCACCGTACAGTATGCGCGACTATGCGCCATCAACCGTCGTGTGCATGGCGTGTTCGTACCAGAGTTTGGGTCATCCAGCTTGGAGGCCATAGCCTCGAAGTTGTGAGTCGCCATGGCGATATATGGAGCAGCTGCAAGCAGCTTCTCGGCCTCTTCAAAGCCCTCGTAGGCTGCGACGTAAAGTGGCGCGGCTATCCAGTGCGTCGCGCGACCGATGTGTGAGAAGGCAGGCGCATTGGCTTCGGAGACAGGCTGGTGGTGAAGTGTACCGTCGGCAAGTCGCTGCAGGATGGAATATTAAAATGTGAAAAGGAGTGTGTAGGCTTTTAGGCCTGGGCTGTCATTACAATCGTTATGGTAAAGCGAGGAGTGGTGGTGGGGCCGAAGGCGCGTCCAGCAGGTGCTGGCTCGTAGAGGTTCGCGACTTGAGTGAGCTCTGCAACTAACGAACACTCGTACGGTAGATTGGGCGGGCATGCCATTTACCCTGTGCCGGCAAGTTCCGTCGCCTGCTGAGGACTGATTGGTTGACTCCTGCCTCCGTGCTTGTCTTGGCGCGTCGGTGTTTGCCAATCTCCGTCTCTGTGCATGATTGTTGGTGTGAGTCTACAGCGGACTTCATGGGAGTCATATCACACTTTCTACAAAGAATGCGGCTTAGAGTCTGAGAACACGATTCTGTCATATTCTGTGAAACCTATCGAATCCAGCTGTCCACCCCACTAATCAATAACTTGGCAATACTTGTGCCTCTCAGGGTAGTGAACATGTCAGTTCCAAGGTTGTTTATTTGGCATTGACTCCACCACAACCAAACTACTACTTCATATCCAGCGCAATACCTTTGGGTGCACCAGATGGAACATTTCCCCCAATTTGAAATTAGTTGAAACCGAAATGAAAACGACAACCCTAGCCTCTGATATGGCCGTCAACTGCACTCAATAGATAAATTAGTTCACCATCACATCCTACTGCAACATGGCAAGCAATCTGCGGACACGATTCAAACATTGTTTTACCTAAATTTGGAACCTGTCCTTACTCTATCACCCAATCGCTCACCCGCTCCACACAAAACATGTCGCAGAAAACATCACTTGGTCGTACAGGCCTCGTCTGCTTCCAGCCTTCCGTCTAGATAAAAAGTTGAAACGTTGACATTTACATTGGGGCGCCCCATGGTATTCCATATCAGCGTGGGAAATATAGGATAGCCAACTAGCCACCACGGACCACTCTACTTCTCATCAGGGTACAAAGCCTCCTTGAGCGGAATGCCGAGCTCCTCGCGTATCGGCTCGAGCTCCTGGAGGTACTCTGCGTATTGACCCTTGTTCTCAACCTTGAATTTGATACCTGTGACGTATGTTAGCGACCAACCCTTTTTTACGCATTGACCGTAGACACAGCATTTTCCCAAGTCCTACCATATATCTCGACTTTGCGAAAGACATTTGCATGCGTCTAGTGGGGTAGAGTGAGTCACGTACCCTCAAAGACCCGAACAGCCGAGGGGAAGTCGTTGACACGCCTGGCAGCACGGAGCGCGGCAGTGATGACGGCGGGTGAGGGGACAAGATCGTAGGCGAAGCAGTTGTTTAGGTTTCGCTACGAATGGTTAGCCATTGCACGTCTTCATAACAGCCCACCAGCTCGCCCAATCCATATCGGGTAATCCCGGTGCGGGCCACGGTGGGCACAACAAACATACCTGAAGCTCGAAGACGTCGTTAACCTTCTCAAACTCCTTCTCATATCTGCAATCAAGAAATAATTGTCAGTGCTGCAGCTCTTGGTATGCTCCATCGGGCTCAATGGCTGCCCGTCGTCCTTAGGTCCCTCCATCTCCACCCGACGCTAGAGCCCCTCTTTGGATTCCTCGTACCTGGCGGTAAATTCCTCAAATGTTTCTTCGGCATGCGCGTCGCTCTTGAGGGCAACCGACTGCGAGAAAGCGCGCGAAGCGTTCAGTGCAACGGGTGTTGCTCGGCAAACCGGGGCTCGCACGCCCACTCGGCTGACCTTGGACGCGGCGCGCACGAAGGACATGATGCGGTTCAATTAGCTGGCGGATGGCTATGGAAGGAGAGAGAAGGACTACTGGGCGTGCGTAGCCGGCGATGTGTGGTAGGTGGTGGTTGTGTCGGTGGGTCGATTTCCCGTGAGGTTATGAAAACGAAAGCTCAGGCGATCCGGGTTGCGCTCAAAGCCAAGCACGGAAAAGTGGGACCGCGCATGCTTCTGGGACTGATGCCATAGTCACTACACCACAGCATATATTTTGACATTGAATTGATCGTGTCAATTGTCTTTTTATGAGACTACATTCAATGTCTCAGTGTACTTGGAGTCTGTCTTTGACGGTTCTTGAAGAGAATCTCCATGTCGGACTACCTGCCTAATTCTTCACGAGTAGGTCATGCCGCAAAGATGATGACAATGCGGATTCGACGATAGCATGCATCTCCGACACCAAAGCCAAACGGGTATTACCTTGCATTTCTATACCCTGTAGTAGCCCCCGAATGGAACTGGGCCCTCTGATGCTGCTCGAAGAGACATCAGAGGGCTATCCTCGTCATCATCCTCGTCAACCTCATCGCTTCCATACATATCATTGTAATGTTCGTCGCCCTGTAACTCATCGTCGCCATCTTCTTCCTCGCCTTCTCGCTCGTCCTCGTCCTCGTCTTCTTGCTCTGGCTCGGTATCTGCGTTTAGTACATCTTCCGATACAGGTTCTTCTGTCATGTCTTCTGGAACGTCGACATCTTCCGCTTCCTGCTCCTCACCAACATCTCCCTCCCGTTCTTTAAGCGCTTCCATTTGCTCAAACGCGTATCGTGGGTTTTTGGCTGCACAGCGCACGTTGTGCATTACCTGGTGCTCCCTCCGCTTCTCATGATGGACTTGACGATTGTCGATCTCTGCTCTGTATGCAGCTGCCATTTCCTTGTCGTCCCATAACTCGGGCCATTCCATGATACGTTGGTATATGCTATCATCCGGCTTTTCACCCCCGACAATCGTGTTCATCTTGTCCTTCAAGATCACCGTCGCTTTAGCCCATGTTCCGGCATGGTACCATCCTTGAAAGGTTGGTGCGCAGGTCGTGCGTATGTCGTTTGTGGCCAGAATTTTTGCGATGAGAGGGTCTGTAATATCGCAGAATTGAAAGAGGTTACCAGTTTGGGAGACATTAACACCATCAAAGGTATGTTCAGTCTCTAGTTCTTCCGGAGACATTTTGGCTAGCTTTATGACATGCTGATCGAAGGCTATACGGTGCTTCGAGATGCCTGATTTGACATATGACTGGAACGATACCGTTTGGTATCTGCGGTATTCTGGATCCTTGCGGGGATCAACTCCCCAACGCACAAGAGCCTCCCGCCACGGTCCACTCTCGAAGAAGAATCCACAATATATAGCTGCCTGCCTGAGTTTGGTTCGCTTGTCCCATCCGAGCTTGTTGTACAGGAGCTGCCGGGTCACGATAGGCCTGTGGAGGAGTAGAGCTCTAATGTTTGCAATCAAGGCCTGCATATATGGCGTAAGATTACTTTCTGCAGGAAGGCCAAGTCGGGGTCCAGTCGGCACGTGCTCATCGGTGGGCTTGATGATGGTGTATGCGTTGTAGGCCAAGCTTCTTTGTATGTTGACCACACCTGTGTCAGTGTACTTGACGTTGGCGTTTTGTTGGAACCTGTCTTGGGTCAGAATATCTCAGGATATTGTAGTGGAGAGCTTACCGATAGTTGAATGCAATCGGCATCTGCAGAAACTCTGGTGATGGGCCAACGCTTTTGTTGAGGTCTGCACCAGCTTCTGTATTGACATCAAAGCTTTTCAACAGTTGGTCTAGGGCAGTGTCAGAAGACGATCGAATATAGCTGGACTGGTCTTACATCGATTGGGCAGGACATGATCGCGCAGAGCAACCATAGTATTGTTGTGGGAGGCATTATATTGCATATCAGGCATATCTAGACATTTTGTCAGCGAATAGATACATTCAACTTGGTATAGCTTACTTCGGAACCGATGCGCCTCGTCGACTACACCGGCAAGAGCGACCTTATATGTCGACGCATTGTCTTGGAGGATCCTGTAGATGGTTGATGCATCGACGTAGGGCTGACTGCCGCGACTTCCGACCTCGTCTTCGGTGAGGAAGGGACCTGACGACCCGCGCTTTCGTTTGCGGCCCGTTCGCTTGGGCACTGTTACTTTGAGAAGCAGGTTGTTGGTCCTCACTGGCGTCGACAGTAGACGCTTGGCAAAGGGGTCATCTGGTCGTAGGGACACGGATATGAGTTTTTTGAGTTCGTCATCACCCTCTGCGTTGGTCGTGGTTTCCAGTTTTGAGCGCAGACCCTGCCGCGTGTCAGTGAAAATATGGTCGACAGAAAATGTGTCTTTCTGACCTTGCTCAGTTTAACTGGCCCGCCTAGAGAGGTAATGCCCTTGTCTATGTTCTTGATGACTGCCGGGTGCTCGACTACGGATATGGCACGTGACGGAACGGGTAGCCACGGTGCATGCTGAGTTGCAGCAGCAGTGTTTTCACTGGTCATGTTGGTATGGTTTCACAGTGACTACCAAGATGGAGATTTTCAAGGTAGAGATTTTCAATGTCGACTGGTGTTGCACCCAGACAGTCCAAGACGCACGTATGACAGCTCGCTACCACCCCAATAGCTGCCAGGCTCGTGTTTTTGTGATCCCAGGGTTTTATATACCCCCTTCCGTATAGGTAAAGGAGAGTAGTCCGGATGGAGATGCAGACCCTGGTAGGGATGCGAGGGTCCGTCGCAGCCTCCTCTACAGCACTAGGGCCGGGTCACGGGTCTGCGTAAAAGCATACATGTAGCTAGGTAGACCAGGTCACAGTAATTGCGCGCTCTCGTATACGCTCTGGAACCGTTTATGCGCATCTAACCTCTTACTCCCCCCCTCTCTCTCACTGTCGCATGTCCGCTGTACTTATGATGTCGTGACGGGTGCGGCGGGGCTTGGGTCCAAACGCACGGCCTCGCTACGGGACGGCTAGCGCGAATCACTCGACGCTGTCTGTCTGGCAGCAGCCCTGAGTTGTCAGTTGACGACCTGATCGAACTCATCTGTCCAGCTCTCCAGCCTCCGCCGTTCCCTCAGTCAGAGCGCCAATACGTCACCACACGGTTGTTAGGGCGCCAGCTGCCGTCTGACCCCCCTTCTCGCGAGCTCCTCCCTCCACCGACTCCCTGTGCACCAGTTCTAGACGGCGACACTAGCCACTCCCCATTACCTTACGCGTCTCTCCTCCATGTCGATCTGAGCCCTACGCTCGCCCGTCCTCACTTTATCGTGTGTGCGCCTCTTCGCTCTTCTCCATTGGCGCTGCTGGCTTGCGATTTGTTCATAGACGCCCCCCGAGGCCAGGCTCGAATTCGGACGCCCGTCCCTACACCACCAGCGTAGCGCTTACCTTGGCCGTGGGCGCATGTCGACAGTCATGAAGGGCTTCAGGCAAAGGGTCGTAAGTCCCCGTCTCTTCTTGGACCCCTGCGGAACATGTACCTCTTACCCCTCTCTATGCGCGGAGACTAACATATCTAGTCCGAACAGCTCTCGCGGAGCAAGGACAAGGACAGCAAGTCATCTAAGAAGAAGGACTCGACCTCCGGGACGGCCTCGCCCTCACTCGGAGCATCCAACTCGCCCTCTGGCTCGGCTCAGGCCACGCCTTCCTCGTCGCAGACGCAGCTCACCGATGCGCGCAGCAAGAGCCAGTCGGCCGCCGATGGTGCTTCAGGCAACATTGGGTCGCTGCAGCACAACTCGCAGCCGTCATCGGGTTCTCTCGCAGGCGGCTCTCAGTCGTTTGCCGGCCAGGGTGTTCTGAGCCCTGGCAGTGTTGGCAACGCTGGCGCTTCAGGTCCAGGCACGCCTTCTAGGCTCGGGCAGCCACTGGCACCCAGCGTTGTCATCAGCCCAAGCGCTCCCGTAAGTACTCTTACGTTCGATCTCGCACACCACGTCGTGTTAGTAGACTAATTTGTTTCCACAGCACGTTCCCCCTCCTGGTGCCGCCGAAACCATGCCGAGTGACCTTGCGCCTCCCAAGGCGGGCCAGAAGTCGGGCATATTCGACCGTCTTCAAGCAACGCCCAAGGACGCCATCGAGGGCATTCGAACGCCGAAACGCCAGCATTCGTCGCGCTTCGACATCTCAGACCAGCGCCAGCGCGAGTTGGAGAAGCTGCCCGGTTTTCACGAAGTGCCCCCCAATAAACGCGAGGAGCTCTTCATGCAAAAGATTGACCAGTGCAACATCATCTTCGATTTCAACGATGCTAGTGGTGACATGAAGTCCAAGGAGATCAAGCGCCTGGCCCTGCACGAGCTGCTCGACTATGTCGCCAACAACCGCCAGGTCATCACCGAGAAGATGTACCCGCGTGTAGTCGAGATGTTCGCCAAGAACCTCTTCCGTCCCATTCCTCCCCCTATGAACCCCCAAGGCGAGGCCTTTGATCCCGAGGAAGACGAGCCCGTCTTGGAGGTAGCGTGGCCGCACATTCAGGTCGTCTACGAGTTCTTCCTTCGTTTCATTGAGAGTCAGGATTTCAACACAAACATTGCCAAGGCATACATAGACCACAGCTTCGTGCTCAACGTAGGCCACTAACATCTGTCGTCATGGCGCACTTCGCTAACACTCCCAGTTACTCGAGCTATTCGATTCTGAAGATCCCCGAGAACGCGATTTCCTCAAAACTACGCTGCATCGCATATATGGCAAATTCCTCAACCTTCGTTCGTACATTCGTCGTTCCATCAACAACGTCTTCTTTCAATTCATATACGAAACGGAGCGCTTCAACGGCATCGCTGAATTGCTCGAAATTCTTGGTTCCATCATCAACGGTTTCGCTCTGCCATTGAAGGAGGAGCACAAGCTCTTCCTCACTAGGGTGCTCATCCCGCTGCACAAAGTCAAGAGTCTGAGCATGTATCATCCACAGTTGGCGTACTGCATCGTCCAATTCTTGGAAAAAGATGCAGCGTTGACAGAAGAGGTAGGGACATACGCCAGATCCAATAGGCTAGGCTTACATGTTCAGGTTGTTTTGGGTCTTCTCCGATATTGGCCAAAAGTCAACAGCACCAAAGAGGTTATGTTCCTCAACGAAGTCGAAGACATATTCGAGGTTATGGACCCCGCCGAATTCGCCAAGGTGCAAGAGCCGCTCTTCAATCAATTAGCAAAGTCGGTCGCCAGCCCCCACTTCCAGGTCGCCGAGAGAGCGCTTTACTTCTGGAACAACGAATACTTCTGCAATCTTGTCAGCGATAATGTTGAAGTCATCCTGCCGATTATGTTTGCACCACTTTACGAAAACTCAAAGGGTCATTGGAACCGGTTAGTAACAGCAGTCTGTTGCTAGATTGACAGACTGACACGACGTGTAGCACAATTCATGGTATGGTTTACAACGCCATGAAGCTTTTCATGGAAGTGAACCCACAGCTCTTCGACGACTGTTCGCATGATTATGCGGAGTCGCAGAACAACGCAACGCAAAGGCAGCAAAGTCGACAAGATCGCTGGGATCGACTTACTAAGCTTGCCGAATCACGGTCAAATGGGACGGCGGATAAGTCCGCGATGCGCTTGGACGACTCGGATCCACTGAGTCAAGGACGATTGGAGAATCTCCATCTGCAAGACGAGACGGCACCGAGAGACAGGCGGCCGAAGGAATATGAGCGTCAAGGCAGCCAAACCTCGGTACGTTGATTCTTAAGTCCCTAGAACTCGGGATGAGCTTTCTCTGTGGCCGAATCGATGTACTCTTAATTCTATTCCTAGATTCCTAGGGTTTTTTCCTTGTTGTTCAAGACTTGCACTTCAATTCAGGTGGATCTGACGTCTTTGTGCTTGCGTCTTTGCAGCGCCGACACCACTCTTCGCAAGGGGAGCACCACGTGTCATCCAGTGCTCGTCGCACGGCTGGTCGACCGCGTAGCAACAGTCGCCCCAACTCTTCTTCTGGCCACGCCGTCTCGTCGCGAGCGCCCACTGGACGTGCTAGGGCGAATTCTGGGGGTACCATTACCAGGGTTGTTGGCTCGTAAAGCTTGTGGTGTAGCTCTTTTCTCGTCTTCTTGTTGTCTGGTCCACCTGTAGCGCTTTTGAGGATGGATTGTAGTTGCGATATTGTGTGGTTGGTTTACGCTGGCATCAAAGCGGTCGCGGAATTTTTTTCTGGCTCCAAAACAAGACGGACTTTTCACAAGTGGTGTTCAGGGTGATAATTCTTCTTGAGTCTTGTAAGGGTGTGGAGGATTATGGAATATGGTTTTTCTCCCGACTTATAGACACCGAATGTAAAGAAATTTTCAACTTGATGTAATGCTGCGTGTGAGGGAGAGGGGGATGCATATAAAGTTGCTGACGGCGGTAACTAGTCTTGGTGAGATGTAAAACAAAACAAACGTCAAGTAGAGTAAACTGCGAGGGTTGCATTGGATTGCTTATTTTGGCTGGTTAGTCTGGCCAAGGTTCCCTGCCATGATGGTATTGGACGGGAGTACGGTGTAGGCTGCTTGGAAGGGGCATCCTCGCAATCACAGAGTGAAAGCCGATGTTACCATCGTGGATTGATGATCATCGGAACATGGTGTGCAAGTATCGATGATGCAATACTCTACGTGCTCACTACAAGGTCTCTCAATCTTTTCTCGAGATACGCCATTGGCTATCACGGTAGTAATGCTCATAGCATGAAACGTTTCACCCAGTGTTTCCGAATGTGATGTTTGCTTAGCCGGCTCACTTGCTTGTTGTGAAGTTGTTGTTATTGTTTTGTTGTCACTCTTACCCCCTGAAGCGATTCAGCAGATGCTCGCTCGGCGTCCGGATAGCCAAGCCTTCCGAATGACTGCATCGCTTTTCCTTTATAGGAGTCTCCCACAGTCGAGTCAGGGCGGAGTAAGAATTTTTGGCCCGCCTAAACTATAACGATGTGCACATGTCATCGGTGCTGCGAGGGACACGTTTGGCATGCGTAGGTACCAACAATCACACTTGGGTTTTGAGGTCTGCATGGCGTGGTGCCCGGGAACCACCTGCTGGGTGCACTTGGCAAAAAAGGTAACCGACTACTAGCAACCTTAGTTCTAGGCAAAGGGGGAAAGACAACTATGCGATAATGTAGTCGCACGGCCAATAGCGAGACATGCATTCGCCTCGGGACGGGGTGTATGGAAATTTGGGACGGGCAGCGGGCGCGTTAGCCCTGCGGGAATGGCGGAAGACCCCAGTACCCAGCAGTCATTTCCGACCTCCTTTCCGGCGCGGCCAGAAATTCATCGCCGGCCCTTCATAACCTTCTCTGCGCGCTGCACCAGTTTCCCTCCCCAGCCCGGTGAGAGATTTACTTCTTCACATCTTCTCTTCATTCCTTTGTGCTTCGCCTTTTCCCGGTCGCGGCTGCCATCTCTTCGTCCCCACTTGTTTACGTAGCCTGTCAGATCCAGGGCCACCTCTCGAACCCACATACACGACAACAACACAACGTCCGCAAAACTCAGAGTCGACATCACACACAATGGGTGGAACGGATTGGCTGGAAATTGGCCCGCCAACACTCGACCGTCCCTTCGGTCTGGCATTATGGCCCATCTTCGAGAAGGTGTTTGAGCCCATCGTAGGGTACAAGCCGCAGGATTTCCGCTTCGTACAAGGGGAGACGCCGCTTTCGACATTCAAAGTCTGTGTTATTACGCTCATCACATACTACATTGTAATCTTCGGGGGCCGGGAGCTTATGCGCAACCGTGAGCCGTTCAAGCTCAACTTTTTCTTCAAGGTGCACAACTTTTACCTCACGGCCATTAGCGGGACTCTCCTGCTGCTCTTCGCGGAGCAATTGATCCCCACGGTTGCGCGGAAAGGTCTTTTCTTCGCCATTTGCGACCACCAGGGTGGCTGGACGGATAAGCTTGTCATTCTCTACTACGTATGTCCAACGCCCCGTGTCATCTTGATCTGAGCTAATCCAAGCAGCTCAACTACCTCACCAAGTTCCTCGAGCTGATCGACACGTGCTTCCTGTTTTTGAAGAAGAAGCCCTTGAGTATGTGCACCTACTCGGCCTACAATTTGCGTAGCTAACAGCGTCAGCCTTCCTCCACACCTACCACCATGGCGCGACCGCTCTCCTCTGCTACACCCAGCTCATTGGACACACTCCCGTCTCATGGCCCGTCATCACCCTGAACCTGGCTGTTCACGTTGTCATGTACTGGTACTACTTCCAGAGCGCGCGAGGCATCCGCATCTGGTGGAAGAAGTACATCACCGTTGGCCAGATCACCCAGTTCGTCCTCGACCTCGGTAGGTTTCTTCATTCTTTTCTGTGGTTTCCAGGGGCTAACAGATTCCAGGCTTCATCTACTTCGCCTCGTGGACCTACTTCACTAGCACCTACTGGCCACACATGCCCAACATGGGCGAGTGCGCTGGCGAGGAATTCGCGGCCATTTCGGGTATCTGCATCATCACGTCGTACCTATTCCTCTTCCTCGCATTCTACTTCGCCACGTACAAGAAGCCGGTGCCCAAGGGCCGTCGCAGGGCTACCAGCGCGTTGGTGGAGATGAAGGATGAGAAGGTGCCGACTGTTGGTGAAGCCCGCAGGCGTCTTTCCATCACTCGTGGTGGAGCCGCTAACGGTGTTGCTACAGGAGCCTCGCCCAATGGTACTCCCAACGGACGGGCGACCCGCAGTCGCAAGGCGTAGACGGGTTCACTTGGAGAGGCGCGGTGCAGGGGGGTCGATTGAGCTATTTGAGGCATTGGATGATGCACAAATGTCTCAAGCATCATCTCACGAATCTGTGTAGCGAGCAACACGGAACACAATCAGACAACAGGAGCTCCCGCATGGCCAGGCTCCTAGCACTTCGTTCTGCTACGATAGACCCAGGTGGGCGACAAATTTTGTACTTCTTGTAATTGCTATGTTTGGGGATGGACACTTTAGTCATCCCCCGTTACGATAAAAGCACGTAAGAGCATGGTTGGTCGGTCTGCTTTACGACAATCTACGGTGTTGGTATTGGGCTTTGGCACGGGCTGTTCGGCTGATGTACCAAGTAGAGGAATGACATGTAATGCATAATCATCAAGTCGTCGTCATCTTCACGTGTCGTGTGTTGTCTATGTACCGCTTGTTAGTTCCGGCACTCTGTTTTGCCACTCTCAGCTACCGGCGCTGCAAGGCTTATTGTGGGGAAGGCCGACTAACTTTCCACGTGCAAAAGATCCAGGAGACGAGATGCCGTAATTGGTAAGATCAGTCAGGCCGGTGAATCACACTGCCGGCGGCATTCTTCAGGCTGACGCACTATGATGGAGATACCGAGGCGGACACAGCAATGCACGCCTAACAGGAAGAAACTGAGCAATGTACATGTGGCAGACGTGTATATTATCAATAACAGTGCCAGCAGCAGGTATAACGGGCTACCGGTTCCACGTTGCTCGGAATCGCATTGATGCATGCCAAGAAGCATGTGTGGAGTTCATTGGGTGGAGCGCCTGTGACATGTGATAAGACTGACATGTGAGAATCATGGCTTTGTGGTGACCCCCAATTTGCTGTTCGGCCTTGATCCTCTCAAATCTTGCCTGTGTCGATCGACCATGCGATAGCCGACGATTCCGTTCCCCATCCCGCTTTCACAGCCGTGTTACCATGCTTCGCAGTTAGTGAAGCTGGCGTCTCCTGAAAGACATCATCGCATCCCGATTCGGTTCTACGACGTCCGGTTACGCTTGACCGGAGCGCGCTACTCTTTCGAGCGCTCCCTCCGCGCCCATCATTGAGAATTGCGACGGCTTTGGCGGAGTTAGCAAAGCGCAAGACGACAAACCCGACGAGGCGCGCACGCACAACTTGGACGTGGTTTGCGCATACAGGAAACGTGGGGTAGTCGCTTTTGATTGCCCATGTCACGCTCGTCGTCTCGAGGAACACAATGGAGCAAGAACGGCCACTACAACGTCCCCCGCCGCCTGCTTATACCCAACACGAGCCTGAGTCCCTAAACCTACCGTCAGTTCCGACGCATATACCGAGCCATCATCCGGACCATGGTCCGCTGCCGGGTATCAAGTCGTTGCATCTGCCCGAGACCAAGCCACGACACACACCGCACAACTCGGTAGAATATAGCCCACGGTCGCAGCTGGACGCGTCACAATGGGGTCTACTACCAGCACCAAACAGCGCCACGTTCCCGAGGGCGCCAGAAAGCCTACCGCGCGATGATATAGGGAGCCCCATGGACACGGCTAGCGTACGCAGCATCCAAGATGACAGTATGAGCAGGCGGGAGACGAGCGTCAGTATGGACGACCCGGACGTTAGGCTAGCGGCCGAGGCGCTGAGCGGGCTTGGGAATCCAGGTACGTTGTTTTGGGTGCAGTTTCACACGTCTTTGCATGTATACTAACGCTTAGTGGTAGACTTTGTGCGCTCCCCAACGGCGCGATCGCTCACACTATCTGCTCGTGAACCTACCACCGAACCACCGGAACCGCTTCTCTCGCTCATCACATCGAATCACCCGTGGCTTGGAAGCTCCATCAATGGCTCCATATCTGCTTACAACACCACCAAGGGCTACACCCCACGTCTGGTCCAGTACGGCGCAGAGCTCATTGAGCGTAACATCGGATCACCCATGGTCAATACTGTATCGTCTGTAGGTAGGAGGACAGGCATGGAGAAGAGCCTGCGGCGATATCTCGGCGAAGGACACCGACGACCTAGCGATCTCGAGCAAGGAGACGGCGACAGCTCAAGAAGCAAGAGGCAAAGAATCGCTAGCCCAGCGGACGATGCCATGGACGTGGATGATGCGCTTGCCGCAGCGTCACGAACAAGAGGCGGCTCCCAGTCGTCCTACTCTGAATCGCTTCCTGCATACGATGACCAGCGATCGCCAAACTATGAGGAGGCAGTCAGATCTGGTGACATCACATCTCGTAAAGCCCCAGAGCAACAGTCCAACACGCCACAAGACCGCCGCGTCAACTGGTCTACCCAGCTCATCATGACGACTTCTGGTCTCGGTGTCGCCCTCTCCGAAACCTCACTTCGCTCCCTAAAGCTTTGCCTCGGCCTCCTCCGCGGCGCAACCACACACATCGACTCGGTCATGCGCGCCCTCAAGCTCGTCCTAGAAGAATACGAAGCCGTCCTGCGCTCCCAACGCCAGTCCAGCAACACCAGCACCATTGACGAAAAAAACCAACTCAACGGCACAATGGCGCAAATGGGTCTCGCAGACTCCTCCGACAAGGACGAGCAAGTCCGTCAAATCGCTGACCGCATAAAAGCCCTCTCATCAGATATCTGGCAAACACTCCAATCAGTCGTTCAATCCGTATCTCGTTATACGGGCGGCGCGCTCCCCCAGAACGCACAAACCGTCGTTCGCACGCAGCTCCTTTCTGTGCCGCAGCGCTGGCAGCTCGCGGGTCGTAACGCCGGTGGTGCAAACGCGGCGGGCGATGAGGTGCGCGGTGCGAATCGCATGTTGGCATTTGCAAAGGAGGGGCTTGATATGATGGGTCAGATTACGGCGGTTGTGGATGGTACGGTGCAGAGTGCGGAGAGTTGGCTTGCGAGGATTGGGCGGAGGCCTGTTGGTGGGTCGGCCGCGCAGGGGCAAGGACAGCAGCAGGGTAGGGGAGAGGAGAAGACGCCGTTGGCGTTGGAGGCGGGGTTTTTGGGTGGGGAGAAGAGGTAGGCGAGTGCGAGGATGTTCAAGGGAGGAAAGGTGGGGGAGGAGTGTAAGAGAGGGAGTATGGGGCGCGTGTGTGTGTAAGATGGAGTGTGCGGGTTTTTCCTTTGTTCATCATCGATATTCATATCGTTTTATTGGTATGAGTGGGTGGGGTATTTTTTTTCTTGTTCTTTAATGCCAGAATACGAGTAAGTATGTGAAAGCCCACAAGAAAGCAAGAAACAACGAATGAAAAACAGAAAGAAAGTCACGAAAGGGTCGACCCATCAACTTAACTGTCCCCTACACTAGCTCTCTAAGTGGTAGCACCCGTGCTATTGCTCAACGTGAACGCAAAGTTAGAACAGCAGACCGCTCCGCAAAGCACCAGCTCAAGAAATCGCTTTTGCAATATACTCCCCATAAGACAGTAAGAAAGCCACATAAGCTAAGCTTCTTAAGAAAGAGTAGAACCTATTTTTAGAGAAGCGGTACACTTGGAAAAAGTCTGGTAAGTTATTACAGCTCTTCATCACGGACATTAGCTAATGAATTATAGTAAAGGGGTTTTCATCGACATTATACTAGTAAATAGAAGTGTTAGCTTACTGTAGAGACGAAGTCTCTTAACTAATCTCTTTACTCTTCTTATCTAGACCGAACACTTTGATATTCTTCTCCACGTCTTTAGTATCCTTATTCTGAGTCCCTGAGCTCGCACCCTCTTATTCTCCGTTATCTTCCGAACTTGTACTTGTACACGTGCTAGTACAGGGAGCCTCCGTTACGTATACACTACAGCCTCGTCGCTGTAAGAGCGGGTTGTACAAGGACATTACGAGGACGACATACTAAGATAAAGATGAGGTGGATGATCGTGCGCGTACGGATGTGCGGGCGTGCTTGTGCCAGTGCGGAGTGGCTAACAGAATTAGAGGTTCTTATCGTAAGAAACAATTGGGAGTTAAAAAGCTCGACGACTGACGTGTTCTTAAAACTAGGTTAGTACTTACGCCAAGGATAGGTACCATGGTACTATCAGATACTCGGGATACACCTCCATACGCAGGAAATGTTCCGCCGTTGAAAGATTTTGAGAAAAAGGGTCTAGTACACTGGGTTGAGTGATATGATCTGTGGCAGAGGAGGGTTTACTTATCACCGTGGTCCTAATCTTCGAGGAGCCTTGAAGTTGAATGTGGAACCAGGACTGTATGTAGGATGTTTGGGCAAAAGAGATATTGAGGGTCATCGACTTTTAGGGAAAAGAACATGTGTTTGAATATGGTAATATGGGAATGATAAACGAGCTCTATGTACCTTAACTGATATTTTTACTGAATGTGTTCACTTTTGCGGGCTTCCTAGTGAGACTTTGTGGGACAAGAGGAAGAAAATGATAATAGTGTTGTAAGGTAGATCTGCGGGTAACGAAATAGAGACATAGTAAACGACCGAGATCTTAGCCGTTGACTGAGGCTCGACATATTGGGTCATTGTTGATTGGAAATGGTATGAATATGTGTGTATGTTTAGTTCGGTGAATAGATGAATAAAATGGGGGGAAGAGAAGAGGAGGATGTCGACTAAGAGAGGCGGTAAGATATTCCGATATACGTTTTTGCAGGATGTCCAAACATTCTACTGTTGTGCTTGAATACAAAATGCTGGTAATTAAAGTTTAGTAGTCTGTCCCATCTTCTTAAGAGTCTCTCTACTTTTCTTGATGTGGTATTGCAGACGGCTTGGGCGAACGATAAGGTGAAGTTTGAGTGATGTGGTTTCATCGAATGCTTCTCGGATGTCGGCCTTGTGATATTTTGGTATGGCATGCATAATGAGGCTCGTGTGCTGTAGAATTGTGTTTGAATAGTTTCTTTTATGTTGCTGGTAAGATACGTGTTCTGAAGTCTGGTTTTACGTAATAGTATATCAGTTGAGGATCGTAGAGACTTTGTTATGTCTTTCATATGATACCCTTATCTATTTAGTTCTGTATGTAACAATAGCTCGTAAGCCGATTGATGACAGGGTTACATTGTCAAGCGTGCGATCGAAGATTCCGTGCCGACTCCTTTCATGGATCTTCCATGTTATACCTCATGTCATCTGGTTTACATCTGTACTCGGGTCCCTAGGCTTATGGCATTCTCACCAAACCTATTCATGTCGATGTTTGCAAGGATAGGCCAGCAATATACTTGCCGTCAATGGGGCTGATGCTTACCTAGACAGGTAATCTGTGCATAGTCTGTACATGCGTCCCGCACACTGGTCCAATATCTCCCCGCATCGATTTACGCGTACGGGCCCATATTCGCGTCATTGATGGTTTCCATATATCCATTTACCAGGACTGTGGAGTGTCCACTCGATATGACGGACGAATTATGGAGATAAGGGTTTACGTAGGAATATTGGCTTAGGAGTGACATGTCCGGTACTTGAGCCTTGCGTACGTGTTCATGGGCGTTTGCGGTTAGTACTTAGTACGACGAGTACGGTGAGGGATTTCGGTGTTTTATATTTTCCGAATGCATACGGAAGGTTTTCACAACGACCACCGATGGGACGGAGTCGGAGTGAGAGCAAAACACCGAATTCCATGTTGCCAAGCCAGTGCCAGGCATGCTGAGAAGATGGGCGCAGAATTCTTTCCAGATGTCAACCTTGATTCTTCGCATGGTTCAGGCGAACCTTGACCCGTGAAGTACGGCATACGGTATGTACACGTTGTGTAACTGGAGCGACCGACAGTGCAATCTCAAATCTCGTATCAGTTCGTCCGAACAGTATCGTAGAACCACTTTTCATACTCCTTTCTTTTACACGTATATTGGTGGGCGTTGCAATTTGCTTTTACTATCGTATAGCCAAGCATGTGGCGAGAAACCCACCTTTTATCTTGTTCATCAAGCTCCACATTTACACACAATGGAGGTGTGGACACGAGCGTGGCAGACTAACGCTATAGTCTGAGTGAGCCGAGATGAGTCGAAATCGCGGCAGAAGACTCAGGTTCTAGGCCAATGAGCGATACCGGATGAACGCGTAGGAAGCCGGTGCCAAGCGAGCGCCTCTCCGAGAAATGTTTCAGGCATGAGTAAGTGTTCAAACATGGCACAGGGCAGTTGGATCAGCGAAAAGCAAGAACAGGTGGGAATGTTGCGGGTCCGTGGGTTGAGGTTTTTTGCTCGAATCTTCTTCTCAGGGCAAACATGTCGAATGGGAAAAGCAGAAAGTGGGTGGCTTGTTTGCCATTCGACAGCGAGTCGGCCCGCTGCCGTAGGAGCTGTGATTCTAACAGAACATGACTCAAGCCAAGAGGATCCACAGTAGAGTGCTGACAAAACCATGTGGAGCGAGCGGCAAATATCAGACCTAGCAAGGGTCCAGTATCGCGCAAGAGAGATTACCGAGGCTGGCAGCATGCTGCCTTGCGCGGTTTGATATGTCGTGGTAAAGTTCAACGGGTTTCGTGTTTCTGTTCCAGTGTGCCCTAGCATGTATAAATTTAGGGGAGAAACAGACAAACATGACGCGTATTGAGCGCATTTTGTTAGCGGTTCATTCAAGTACGTATGGTAGGCGACTTCTCGTCGTCATAAACGGCTTATGTTGATCGGGTCGCCTCATCGATGCGCGTCACATGCTGATGTGCTGGTTAAGTCGAATGATGCAGGATGAGTCAATCGCATGCTGTGATACGTACTGTATGATACACCGCTGTTGCTGTCTCCGTGCGGAGCAGTCCGAATAGGCCATTTTCTGCTTTCGTCCAAGTATAACCCGGCACGCTTCCTTGCCAGGGTAACCACTTCGGGCTTGAGGCCCCCACTGCCCTTAAGTCCGAGTCGTAGCATTGTTTTCCTTATTTAAACAATTAGCCTTGGTTCGCGACATTACTCGGCCGATCCTCTGCTGCTGCTGTCTTGTTTTGTGTCTCAGTGAGGTTGTGTACGTTCTTTATATTTAATCTATTGCCGCAGTGTAAGACATTGGCAGTCTCCGCTGCAGCCCCGGACACCCCGTTGTTTGTATAGGCGCAGGGACGCCCTGTAACGGCCGTGTCGCAGCCACAATGGACAACAACCAGTTACAGAATACCCACGTGCAGGAGCACACCGAGGGTGCTACCTACGAGGCCATTCACCCAAACCGCGACCACATCAGGCCCGACAATGCCAGCACCAGAAGCGCATCCATCGACGACAGCACTGCGCGAAACTCGCCAAAGTTGAACGACAAGGGCTTTAGCCATACCACCGGTGGCGTAGACATCCAAAGGGCCGAAGCCGACTTTGCCGAGCTTTCCAAGGAACTCTCCCGCGCCAGTAACATTTCACGTCGGTTAAGTCGCGTACAAAGCAAGCAGAGTCGCAAACAGGGACTTAGCACCGATGTGGAGAAAGCGGGCGTTGAGGGGTCAGAGGACTCTGATGAACAATTCGATCTCGAGGCTACTCTAAGGGGTAGTCGTGATCAAGAAGAGGCGGCTGGGATCAAGGCCAAACGCATCGGCGTGGTCTGGGACCGTCTCACCGTCAGCGGCATTGGTACGATCACGATGCATAAACTACACGGCAAAGGCTAACAACTGCATAGGCGGTGTGAAGAATTATGTCAAGGTACGGACTGTGTTGACGCGAGCATGGATTATACGAGAACGGGATGGCTAACACTTCGGCTAGACTTTCCCTGACGCCTTCGTATCCTTCTTCAATGTTTTCGAAACGGCGGCCAGTATCCTGGGGTTGGGTAAGAAGGGCAAGGAGTTCGACATCTTGAAGGACTTCAAGGGTGTCGCCAAACCGGGCGAGATGGTTTTGGTGCTTGGAAAGCCGGGTAGCGGTTGCACAACATTCCTCAAGGTCATCAGCAACCAACGATATGGATACACAAAGATTGATGGCAAAGTCCTATATGGCCCCTTTGAGTCCGATTTCTTCGAGAAGAGATATCGAGGTGAGGCTGTATACTGCGAGGAGGACGAGAACCACCACCCCACGCTTACCGTCGGTCAAACGCTCGATTTCGCACTCGAAACAAAGGTACCCGGAAAGCGACCAGCAGGACTTTCCAGACAAGATTTCAAGGAAAAGGTCATTGACCTCATGCTGAAAATGTTCAACATTGAACATACCCGCAACACCATTGTCGGCAACCCCTTCGTGCGAGGTGTGAGTGGAGGAGAGAGGAAGCGAGTTTCCATTGCAGAGACAATGATAACTGGCGCCTCATTGATGTCGTGGGATAACAGTGAGTACTTTATGCGAGAAAACAGCATCGGCATATACTGACTTCCAAAAAGGTACCAGAGGTCTCGACGCTTCCACAGCCGTCGACTACGCCCGATCGCTCAGAGTCCTCACCAACATCTACAAGACGACCACCTTCGTGTCCCTATACCAGGCTTCCGAGAACATTTACAAGTGCTTTGACAAGGTCATGGTCATCGACAGCGGACGCCAAGTATACTTTGGACCTGCCCAAGAAGCTCGTGCCTACTTCGAGAGTCTTGGATTCCGGGAGAAGCCCCGCCAAACCACTCCCGATTATCTCACTGGTTGCACGGACCCCTTCGAGCGCGAGTTCAAGCCTGGCATGAGCGAAAAGGACGTTCCTTCGACGCCCGATGCGCTCGCTGAGGCTTTCAAGCGATCCGAGACGGCTGCAAGACTGGATGCTGAAATGGTGGCCTACAAGACGCAGATGGAGGAGGAGAAGCACGTTTACGACGATTTCCAACTGGCCGTCAAGGAATCCAAGCGCCATGCTCCACAAAAGTCCGTCTATTCGATCCCGTTCTACCTCCAAGTGTGGGCTCTGGCCAAGCGTCAATTCCTACTCAAATGGCAGGACAAGTTCGCCTTGACTGTCTCCTGGGTTACCTCGATAGCCATTGCTATCATTACCGGTACCGTTTGGCTAGATCTCCCCGACACCTCGGCAGGCGCCTTCACTCGTGGTGGTGTTCTCTTCATTGCTCTCCTTTTCAACGCTTTCCAGGCCTTCTCTGAACTTGCATCTACCATGTTGGGAAGACCGATTGTCAACAAACACCGCGCCTTTACATTCCACCGTCCTTCAGCCCTCTGGATAGCCCAGATTGGAGTCGATCTTCTGTTTGCCTCGGTTCAGATTCTGGTCTTTTCCATCATCGTATACTTCATGACGAACTTGGTGCGAGATGCTGGAGCCTTCTTCACTTTCTTTCTGGTCATCGTCACTGGTTACCTTGCTATGACTCTGTTCTTCCGAACAGTCGGTTGTCTCTGCCCAGATTTCGACGTTGCCATTCGTCTCGCTGCCACAATCATTACCTTGTTTGTGCTAACTTCTGGCTATCTCATTCAGTGGGAATCCGAGCAAGTCTGGCTGCGTTGGATCTTCTACATCAATGCGCTCGGACTCGGCTTTGCTGCTCTCATGATGAACGAGTTTTCTCGGCTGGATCTGACTTGTGCTGGCAACTCGCTGATTCCGTATGGACCCAACTACAACGATATCAATGCTCAGGTTTGTACGCTACCTGGTAGCAAGGCCGGTAACCCAATCGTATCTGGTACCGACTATATTGAGACCTCATTCTCCTGGCACCCCAAGGACCTCTGGATGTACTACGGCATCATGATTGCTCTTATTGTGGGCTTCCTACTCGCCAACGCTTTCCTCGGAGAGTTTGTCAAGTGGGGTGCTGGTGGTCGTACAGTCACGTTCTTCGTCAAGGAGACCAGCGAACTCAAGGAACTCAATGCCAAGCTACAGGAGAAGCGTGATAAGCGCAATCGCAAAGAGGACTCCAGTGACCAGGGCTCAGACCTGAAAATCGCGTCCGAGGCTGTTCTCACATGGGAGGATCTTTGCTATGACGTCCCTGTTCCAAGCGGACAGCTCCGTCTGCTCAACAACATCTACGGTTATGTCAAGCCCGGACAACTCACGGCGCTCATGGGTGCCTCGGGCGCCGGAAAGACCACACTGCTTGATGTGCTTGCCAACCGCAAGAACATCGGTGTTATTTCTGGTGACAAGCTTGTTGATGGAAAGGCCCCCGGTATCGCCTTCCAACGTGGAACTGCCTATGCCGAACAGCTCGACGTTCACGAACCTGCTACGACCGTCCGTGAAGCCCTCCGTTTCTCTGCCGATTTGCGCCAACCCTTCGAGACGCCTCAGGCTGAAAAGTATGCGTACGTTGAAGAAGTCATCGCTCTATTGGAGATGGAGGACATTGCCGATGCCATCATTGGAGATCCCGAGAGTGGTCTAGCTGTCGAACAACGCAAACGTGTGACAATTGGTGTTGAGCTCGCTGCCAAGCCCGAGTTGCTTCTCTTCCTGGACGAACCGACTTCTGGTCTCGATTCCCAGAGTGCTTTTAACATTGTCCGTTTCCTCCGCAAGCTGGCCGCCGCTGGTCAGGCTATCCTGTGCACGATTCACCAGCCGAACTCTGCGCTTTTCGAGAACTTCGATCGACTCTTGCTCCTCCAGCGTGGCGGTCAGTGTGTTTACTTCGGTGACATTGGCAAAGACGCCCATGTCCTCATTGACTACTTCCATCGCCACGGTGCCGACTGTCCACCATCTGCAAACCCCGCCGAGTGGATGCTGGATGCTGTTGGTGCAGGTTCTGCTCCTCGTATTGGTGACCGCGACTGGGCCGATATCTGGGCTGACTCTGAGGAGTTCGCTGAGGTCAAGCGCTACATCACCCAGGTCAAGGAAGAGCGCATCTCCGCAGTCGGTGCTGCTGAACCAGTTGAACAGAAGGAATACGCAACGCCCATGTCGTACCAGATCAAGCAGGTCGTCAGACGTCAGAACTTGTCCTTCTGGCGTACTCCCAACTACGGCTTCACTCGTCTGTTCAATCACGTCATCATCGCTCTGCTCACTGGTCTCATGTACCTCCAACTTAACGACTCTCGGTCTTCCCTTCAGTACCGTGTTTTCATCATCTTCCAGGTCACCGTCCTCCCAGCCCTTATTCTCGCCCAAGTCGAACCAAAGTACGCGGTCCAGCGTATGATCTCTTTCCGCGAGCAGATGTCGAAAGCGTACAAGACATTCCCCTTTGCCTTGTCAATGGTTCTCGCAGAGATGCCTTACAGCGTCCTCTGTGCCGTGTTTTTCTTCATCCCGCTGTACTACATCCCCGGTCTAAACTCTGACAGCTCGCGTGCTGGATACCAGTTCTTCATCATCCTGATTACTGAGATCTTTTCTGTTACTCTGGGACAGGCTATTGCTGCTTTGACACCTACGCCATTTATCGCCTCTTACTGCAACCCCTTCGTCATTGTGAGTTGCACTTTACTTTTATAGCTGGAGCAGCGAACTAATTATATCCAGATCATCTTCGCCCTATTCTGTGGTGTCACCATTCCCAAGCCCTCGATCCCCAAGTTCTGGCGAGTATGGCTCTACGAGCTTAACCCCTTCACGCGCCTGATCGGAGGTATGATCGTCACTGAGCTTCATGACCTCAAGGTCACATGCACATCGGCCGAGTATAACCGCTTCAACGCTCCTTCAGGACAGGACTGCGGTACATACATGAGCGACTTCTTCTCGAGTGGTGGGCCCGGCTACATCCTCAACAATGCAACTAGTGCGTGCGAGTACTGCGCCTACAAGGTTGGCGATGAGTTCTACCAACCTCTCGGCTATGAGTTCAGCAACCGATGGAGAGATTTGGGCATCTTTGCCGCCTTCATCGCTAGTAACTTGGTCATTCTTTTCGTCGCTGCAAAGTACCTCAACTTCAACAAGAGATGAGCGAAAATACTGGGCAGCATTCACATGTTTGTTCGAACATGGCGTCTTCCCTACCACGACGCCAACGCACGTATGACAGGTTATGCCATACCACCGCGGCCGATTGTTGCTGCATGAGCGTTGTTTCTTGCATATTATCAATGTATCATCACAACAAGAGTCTATATAACTAGACGTTCTGGTTTCTTGTTGCGATGCCCGATTGGGCGGAACATTTTCATATTGCCAGCATTACTAGAGCAGCATGGCCTTCATTCATACAAGTACATGCATAGATACTATAGTCATATTAATCAATCACTTCAACATGAACACAATTTCCACATGTCGCCTCCTGTGAAGTTAGGTAACACATCTTTTGTCCATGCTGCGCCGCCCCTTCGCATATACTCCCGTTGTTCGTTGTTCAATGTCTCACATGTGTATGTCTTGCTGTACGTTCTTGCTTCACACCCGCGGCTTTTGGCAATAACGACGAGTCTTTGAGACATTGTCCGTGTCTTGGTATTGAATCATGCCTCTCGTTCTTTCTTTTCTTCTTTTCCTTTCGCACTTTCTCGATGAAGATTATCAAACTTCCAATATACACACACACACACACCCGCTTTTACCATCCACAGCCAGCACCTTCTCGCAGCTACTCACGCTATATCAACAGTTCGCTTTTTTTCTTCCTATCCCTTCGGTTGGGAAAACCCGTCTATCGTTAATATGGCTCCTGCAGTTCAGTATCACCAGTCGAAAATGTTCACTATCACTACGATAACCACCCAACAAGCAAGTCAGACAGCGGGCGTGGTGGATTCAGCGGTAGCAGACGTACTTGCGAATGATGACGATGTTTTGGAACGAGAGACAAGTACATGTTGTCACATCTCATATACACCAGTCACCAGCACGAATAACACACAGCATTCCGAAAAAGAGAGCGATCACTTGCAAATCCACGGTGTTGTGCCTGGTGGGAGAAGGGTAAATGTGGAGACGAGTTCAAATCCAGGGTCACCACCACTACACTCAGCGGCGACGACACCACACACACTGCCTCACGAGCAAACGACCGCAACCACACCACCTACACCCCGCAAAACATCGTCATCGTACCCCCGCCCCTCGCCCCCAGGTTTCCTCTACCCAGACCCCATAGTCCCGCCCTCGGTGTCATTGTCCCAGTTCGCAGACGCACTCGCAGACGCAAACGCAATCACAGCTCCACGCGCGCTCATCCCAATGAGCCAACCAAATACCGTCCTCATCCGTCTACCAACGGAATACAAACTCCTCCTCCTCGCAACGTTAATCGTCGCCGTTCTGGCTGCCGCATGGTCACTGCTCGTATGCTGCATGAGCGTGCCACCAGGCTGGTGGAAGAAAGGTTGGGGAAACGGAAAGGGGAAGAAGAAGGAGCGGAGGCCGGTGGATAAGGTTAGTAAATATAGGGGTGTGAGGGAGACGCACGGTGGCGGACAAGATGGAGAGGAAATAGAAATGCGACACCAACCGCGACATACACTTCAACGAAATATCACGTGGGATGGGCAGCAAGTTTCTTCATCGTCGACATATGGAAATAATGCTACAGCGACAGTGAGACAACGAGTTGTTTCCTCTGCGCCTGGTACACCTTTCCCGCCTACTTCAACGTCAACGGCAGCGTCAGCCCTAACACCAAATTCCACACTATCCAGCCCTGTGAACCCCTTCCTCGACCCCCCTACCCCCAACACACTGCACGAGCAAGGACGTGTCCGACGTACTTCCATGGAGTGGAAAAGGGACCATGCAGCATTCTTCCATTCTACGTATACGTCTTCTAGTCTGCAGAATCCTTTCGCCGACACATCTACACACACTGCGACGTCTACATCAACATCAAGATTCACATCCATACCACTGACCCCCCGCCGGCCATACTCACGCTCACGGTCGCCCCGACTATCTCCCATTCACCGCACAGACACTGAAGCGCTGGAAGCAATGGAAGCGGGTACAGCACCGCCACCTGCGGGCAGTACGGCAGATGAGAAGAGCGATGTACTTAGTAAGAGTATGAGTTTTATTGGGGAGGGGCTTGGGATAATGGACGGGGCTGTTGATGGGTTCGTTGCGAGGGTAGCGCGGTGGACGGATGATGAGGGGGGTGAGAAGGCGTCGTCGTTATTGCCGTAGAGGAGGAATAGGGTTGTTGCATAAGATAGTGTAGAGGTATGTGGTTTATGAGATATCTTTGTTTTCTTTTTTGACTGCAAAGGAGGAGGTATCATCACGACGACGTACTGCTTGCAGGGTATACTTCAGATGAATGAGACACACATTATTTGATTTTAGATTCAGAGCGTTGTCTATGGGAAGCATAGATGGTATCGTGCAAACCAGTAAGCAAGGGCATCCCCTGCCCTAAACGCCACTTAATGCATGAAAAGAATACAGGTCTGTCTTAGACGTCAAAGTCCTTTCGAAGAATTTCTTGTGCTTCCAGTTGCATCTTGTTGGAAATGATGCGCCCGGCTACAATGTCGCCGACCTTGTCTGAAAGGCGCTCTCTAAGATCTTCCAGGTTGGGTGCGGCGTAGTTGCCTTCGGACTTCGCCTTGTCGGCTCTCTCCCTGATGCTCTTAGGTACCAGCGCTGGGAAGGAACCCACGAGCACCTGTAGTAGTATGTCCGCGTCGTGCCTTGTGCCGTCGTCGGCGAGCTTCTTAGCAAGGAAATCATCGTTGTATAACTTGATGTTGGGCAAGATAAGACCCCGTAGTGCATCACCAGGGCCGAGGACCAGAAGCAGCGCTTGTAGTGCGCCAAAGTGTGTCCCCACCGACTTCTCCGGATCCATGAACTGCTTGAGACATGTGCGCGCGATTCGCGACTTGAGCCCTTGATTCGATGTCGAGTGTTTTCTGCAAATGTCTTTGAGCAAATGGGCGGCGAGTGTCCGGAGGTAAAAGGCGTCCTGGGCAGCGCGGCTGTAGTCAGGTGCGGTTCCGTTTAGAGTCTCAGAGGACGCGTTGGAGGGCACTTGGTGACTTGTTGGCCCTAGCTTTCCGCCGATGCAGCATGTGAGGATGGGAGGGACCATGTAGGCTACATATGGATCAAGGTAGATGGCCTGGTTCTTGAGCAGGGCTTCGGCCGCACGCATCATCTGACTGAGTATGAAGAGATTTTTCATATTGTGTGTAACCTTCTCAGCGATGAAGCTGAGGAGATAAGTCGTCAATTGGTGGATGCCGGGTTCTGTCGAGATTGCTGCGAGAGCTGCATTCTGCCATTCGATGTTGGTCTCATCGATGAGGGCGCCAGACAGCTTGTTGAACAGCTCTTGCGACTCTTTGGAGAGGACGTGTTTTACGAGCGGCTTGACGTTGACATTGTCCAGGCCATTGGCAGCAGCCAGGTGCGGGTTTGCATTCGGACCCTTTGGCAAAAGGTCGGCGGTGTTCGTGTTGGGGTTTTGCGGTATTGAAGGCTGGACACCCTCTACGGCGAGCCAATGTGCTATTGGAAGTTAGCGAATGCGGGCTGGGGAATGTTCTGGCACCTACCTGTGAAGGTGATTTCTCGTGGCACCTTGGGCAGCGGGGCGTTGATGAGCTTTTCGAAATCGACCTCCTCATCTTCGACATAGTACAGAGGCTGGCCCGGGCCTAGTGAGGCCTCACCAAAGCGCAGCGGACGCGTCGACTCGTAACCATACAATGGCTCGACATTAAGCACCTTGAGGGCATTGGATATGTCCTGTGTGCTCAACGTGGTCCGCTTCCCGTGTCGCATGAACTTGAGCGCCTCTTCCAGCACTTGGGCGAGGCGGAAGTCGACATCGCGCGCTAGCTCCTCGACAACGTTGTCGGCGAGTGAGGCGATGCCCACGGATTCGGCCACGTCGCGTACATTGTCGGGGTTCCAGACTGAAGACATGACGCCTGTGTGCAGTACGAGGTCTATGGAAGGTTTGATTTGCGATGGTGGGGCGGTTCGAGTGCGGGCGTGCTGTGGTCTAATGAAGCGGCACTGGTGAAAGTAGCCGGTGGGAAGACGCAGAAGGTATCACCAAGACGTGTGACGCAGGGACCGAGGTTGTGACTGTTAGCCCTACGACCCAGTGAAGCACATATCGGACGCGCGCATGCAAAGGCGGTGGGTGACGTGACGCCGCGGGAGCTCGGAGATTGATGAGATCAGTGTTTCATATACGAGCCCCGTGACACGCTGCAAAGGGTGTGAGAAGAGGCAGAGGGTTACAGTGCGGGATTAGTATTGGTAGGCGCAACCTGCCGCTGCTGGATGGGAAGTCGCGATGGAGGTGACGGCTCGCATCAGCCTTGGCGGCTTCCAAACGTCCTAGCGCGCCTTCCTTCCGTCACTTGAACCCATCACCTTCTTCCCACCCACTTGGACCATGTTCCCTTTTCACACCGATGAACGCTGGGCCAACGAGCATGCATCCAGCCAGATCAGCATCCATCCCCACCAAATATTAAAAAATGAGGCCATGCCGACTGCGCGGCGTTTGCTTCACTCAAGAGCACACAAACATGTCCACTCTGTCGCCCGCCACAAGCCCGTGTCGTAGACCGCCATTTTGAATTACTGCCTCTGAACTAAAATCGCCGCCCCTGCTCACTGATTGACTAGCCATCCGGCCTGCGGCTTGTCTTCCCCGCGGCATGATATTCGCAAGCAGTCGACATCCCTATCCTGACAAGGCACACAAACAGGTCGACTGTGGCTCGCCGTTCCCCTAACCGTTGCCACGTTTTACCACCGATCCGTATCAATCTCACCCCAGCTTTCCGGGGAACGTCTTCATTCGACCGCTTGTGCTCCCTTTCTACCAAAGGAGTAGTTCATTCCAGCCTGCTACTTCAGACTTAGCCCTTCCCTGACGCCACCCGTCTATCCGCACGGGCGGGCCGCTGCAACTTTGATTGTTCCTTTCTCTGGCTCATTGCATCTGCCAACTAGGCGAATGCCCCGTAAGCCACTAGCCAGATTTTCGAACTGTCACATTGCGAGTGTAGGAAGACTGCTGCCTCAGACTATTTAATCAAGACTCTACGTTAGTGTTTGCTCTTCCAAATTCTCTTCCATTCTCTCCCAGCATCAAGCACCGCCTTTCTTCTGCTACTACCAACTTGCACACTCCCTCCATAACCTATACCTTGATCCCTTCACCATCATTTGCAAACAGCACTACTGCCTCATCACCATGGGCATGACTACGAACACTTCGAGCGGCAGCAGCTGCGACCTGCTTAATGCACGTTCATTCCATGTTAAATCCATCTCATCACTTTCTACACCGCCACAAGACCGCTCAAGAGACGATCCCCCATCTCCTCCTCCTCAACCACCACCAAGTCCAGCACACTGGAATCGCCTTGTTCCCGTGAGTTATCTTATCTGTGCTATCCAACTTGCCTAACTCTATGCCAAGCTTGACGCCCTTGTACCGCTCGATATCTGAACTACGGGGTAGTGTGGCGACTACGGTAAGTACGATGCACTCCACGGACCTTAGCTCCATCTGACCTTACCTTGAAGCGAAACGGGACCTGCGTTACTCTACCAAACTCGACACCTGCAATGGCATATCTCCAGCCCAACATCTGTCGTTGCCTGGGCCTTGCATGTCACATCAATTCTTGTTGAACATTACCTTGCCACAGAGAAGGGCTGCACAGCCCAGGTTCTCCAGGTACCTCGTACCATGTTCTTCGACCGTATTCTATGTTACTTCCTGATGTTACAAGGACGTCTAGGTAGTGCAGATAGGTGCGCATCTCGGCACGTGCGTTTTAGACCATGTCTTTTGGCCTTCTATAGTGCTAGGGGACGCTTTGCTCTATATACACAATTTCAGATATATCTTTGTACAATTTCCGAGTGACCATGGCTTCCAATGTGTTTCATGCAGCTAAGATAGGCATTTTGGCTGTACCCTGTCAGGATCTGACCTGACCCCGGCGCTGTAACCGAAGCGACGTTCGACTCCGACATCGTGGACCCATCTGAGATCTAGTTTGTATTCTTCTTTCCACGCGTACTGCATCAATATGTTTTCCTATCATCGCCGCTGGTGTTACTTTGCACAACCTGGGCACTCGCTTACTGTACTAGCGCGCACTAGTCAGTCACCTATCTTGCCAGATTCGATTCGCACACGATAGCTCCGGCTCCACTCAACTCCAGTTCACCGTACATCACATCCGAGGTACGTGTGCATTGACAATACGACTATTCCACCGTTCCTTTAATTGCTCGTAACTACAGCCATACGGCAGAGGAGCTGTTTCAGCCTTGCGAAGTTTGCAGAGCTTGTTGGGACTTGGCACGGGATCGACAGTCCCGCTATCCGCCACCAGTGGCTACCCACTTTACAACAACTGCCACTTTCTGGACGATTAGGAGGACAACTCTCCCATCACCCCTTTGCTGCTGACTGCAGCTACTAATTCCATTACACCCTCAGCTCTCGTGCAGACCCATCATGGCTGCCGATAAGCAGGAGACGTCGGAGCGGATCCTTAAATGGTACTCGAATCTCTACAGCCGCAGGGTCGACCTGGTCGGCGATTTTGCAGGTAGCGAGCGCTTTCTCGTGCACGGCGAATCACTCCTGCTCCAGTGTTTTACCGACCCGCACCTCGACTTCGACCCTGGCTTCCAACTACTACACGCTGCGTACGGTGTTGAGAAGTTCTTACAGGGTCTTGTTTCTCGAGGCTGCAATTTCCATATTGCTTTTTTCGACGAACACCAAGACCTTTGCATACCCCAGGATGTGTCGCCAGCAATCGGCGAGAAGTACTTGCTTGCACGAGCAGCCATCATTCGCCATCTCAAGGTCAACCTGCCGGACGCTGTCCCCGAGGTTGAGGTCCATACTTTCGCTTCTTCATCATCCGATGCTTTCGCCGAGTATCTGCGTTCCACAGATATTTACTTTGTTCTTTGTCATGATGGAGCTTCGTTCAACGACGTCCGTAAGAAGATGATGGAAAAGTCACTACACTCTCTAAAGGGCGAGACCCGAGAGCTTCAGGAACGCCAACAGGAGTACAAGTCGTCATTCCGCACATTCATTTACAGTATGATGCAACGAGGCTACAGTGCCGCACTTGTCAACGGACTAGAGTGGAGAGACACCAAGGTGGTCACAACAGTCCTTGAGCACGCACGTTCAATGACTTTGGACGTTTCCTCAGCTGTAAGTTCTGCTTCTCGTGAAATACAATCAAGACAAAGTTCACTCCAGGAGTTGAAGTCACATATGAAAAGGCCTTCCAAGGCATTAAGTCTATCCTCTGTGTATTTGCTAACATTGGAAAGGAGCCCCATACAAACAAGAGGTTGACCGACGTTGTTGATCTATCTCACATGCGCGGCTTTCTGCAGACTATCAGGACGTCATGTGACCAACTTCTTACTGAGCGCGAATACCTGACAATATTGGTGGCTTCGAAGTTATCATCCTCGAACAAAGACCTGTCGTCTGTATTACTGCACCAGGCAGCACTGCTTTCGGAGTTGTCTCTCTCAGAACGCACCATCAAGCATTCTGATATTCCTGAAGAAATTAGCTCGTTCATCTTAGAGTTCTGCCAAGAGGCACGCAAGTTTATCGGCAGTCCTGCGTGGTCAGAGGCTTTTGCCGGTCACCCAGATTGCGACATGGCGGATCTGATCGATGGACGACTCTTTGCTTCGTGTGCTCGCACTCCCTCAGCTGAGCCCAGCGAGCACCTCCAGACTCTACTCAAAGCCACTGCGGCTCTGAATGGCCTAGAACTTCCATCACAACCGGCAGTCTCCTTCACAAGTACAGGGTCTGACCCCAGCAACGAAAATGACGAAGAGAGCTCCGCATACAAGGTTTTGCCCTTTTCAAACGACATCTTCGACCCCCATCTGGCCCCTATCCAGCTGGATGTGTCCCGCCAAGGAGGCAAAGCCGACCCAACAACAGCTAACATCTTCCGGGAGGTTACTCACTGGCACAACCAGAGATCGCTGAACCAGAAGACAAAGGTGGTCGTAGAAAAAGACCCAAAGATAGCCAAGAAAGCCCTCCGTCGAAACCAGTTTTTTATGGCAGAGATGACATCTTACGCCGCCAGTCTTACAAACGCTGTGGGTAAAGTGTTGGATCCAGAGACTATTACTCTCGGAGACAAGTCGAAGACGACACCCGCCCAGAGTCTTGAGAACAAGCGCCCAAAGCAACAGCAACAGCAGCAGAGACAGAGCACCAAAAACATCAATGCTTCTAAACAGGCTATGATGGCCGACATCGCAGCAAGTTCTAAGCGCAAAGACGAGGAGAATGCAAAGCAGTGGTATCAAGCCTGGACTGTCTCATGTGCTGGTTTGGAGAAGCAAGTCGACCTAGCCTCGAGATACAACAAAGCGAGACAGTACCTCGCCGACCGCAATGAGGCTCAGCGCCAAGTCATTGGTCCCGACGTGCGCATGTACATGTTGAATGTTCTCCTGGAAATGTGGGTACGCTTCTGTCGTGATAACGAGAAGGAGAAAGGCCTGTACGTCGCAGCGTTGTTGTTCGACACCGCACGGTCTCTCTGCAACTACGCAACCGTAACTAAGACGATTGCGAAATGTCTCGCCACGACAGTAGAGCGTCTGAAGCTACCAACGCTGGAGGTGCCTACAGCTCAAGGCGACCGGAAGCTGCCTTTCAAGTTTTCCCTCGAAGAGACATTAGTATCGGACCTGGCTCTGACCCTCTCTCCCGAGGAGTTTCAGCTACTCCACTGCGGACCGTACTTTGACCGCACAATTGACTCTGCACCCGATCCTCGTGTGGCATTCGAGCCGGATGCATGGCAACGACGTGTGTTGGATGAAATCGATGCTCGTCGAAGTCTTCTTGTCATTGCCCCTACATCAGCAGGAAAGACCTTTATATCCTTCTACGCCATGAAGCAAGTCCTGGAGGCTAACAACGATGATGTTCTCGTCTATGTTGCCCCGACAAAGGCCTTGGTCAATCAGATTGCCGCCGAAATCCAGGCTCGCTTCTCTAAGAACTACAAGTACAGCCAGTCTGTATGGGGTATTCACACGCGAGACTACCGAATCAATAACCCTACGGGTTGTCAGATCCTAGTAACAGTGCCTCATATCCTACAGATCATGCTGCTGGCACCTAGCAACGCTAAGGGTTGGTCAGAGCGGGTCAAGTGGATCATCTTCGACGAGGTTCATTGTATTGGACAGGCAGAGGACGGTATGGTCTGGGAACAACTGCTGCTGATGGCCCCTTGCCCGATCATTGCCTTGTCAGCTACGGTTGGAAATGCCGAAGCTTTCAACGATTGGCTTTCAGCCTCCCAGAAAGCTGCAGGCAATGAGTTGGTCATGGTGCAACATCCACATAGGTACTCTGATCTTCGGAAATTTATCTACACGCCTCCCACCAAACGCGATGCTGCTAGCTACCTGCCTCTCCCAAACAACCGCTCATTTGCGCAACTCGGACTGGATGAGCACGCAGACTTTGCCTTCCTACATCCGGTAGCCAGCTTGATCAACCGTACCCGCGGCCTACCATCCGATCTGACCCTCGAGGCCCGCGACTGCCTGACCCTTTGGCAATCCATGTGCAAGCACCAAACCGAAGCTTATCCAGTAGATAAGTCTTTGGATCCTTCCACCATACTCCCGACTGTCATCAAGAAGGCAGATATCATCAAATGGCAGTCTGGTCTCAAGAAGCTTCTTTCCGATTGGATGGCTGATGACAAGTCTCCTTTTGAGGCGGTCCGTAAGGATCTCAGCAAGTCTCTGGCCAAGTTTCAAGATGCTCCGCGGATCGATGAGGCTGAGAATGACGCTGCTGACAATGAAGCACAACTGGACGAGCTAGGAATGGCGATCAGTCACGATATCTCGAGTATACTGCCTTTGCTAGCTGATCTTCAACAGCAGGATGCGCTCCCAGGTATCATTTTCAACTATGACCGCGCAATCTGCGAAAAGATGTGCCAAACACTTATGAAGCAGCTCGTGGATGCCGAGGTTGCCTGGAAAGAGACAAGCCCGAAGTGGAAGGTCAAGTTGCAACAGTGGGAGGACTGGAAGAAGGAGGTCGCACGACGAGAGAAGCAGGGTCTTCGTGGTGATGCTTCCAAGGGCATGACCAAGCAGGATCAGATGAAGGAGGCCGCCAACGTCGAAGTGAGCGCCTTCGCATCCTTCGATCCGAACAAGCCCCTCGACGGCTTCCACTTTGCCGACCACAAGAAGTTGTCACAAGAAGAGTTCGCAGTACACGCCAAAGAACTGCGTTACCGCGGAGTAGAGGAATGGCTGATCGACGGGCTCATGCGCGGTATTGGTGTTCATCACGCTGGTTTGAACCGAAAGTACAGGTATTGTGTTGAGATGCTCTTCCGAAAGGGCTACCTACGTGTCGTCATCGCGACAGGTACACTCGCTCTGGGTATCAACATGCCGTGTAAGACTGTGGTCTTTTCAGGAGACTCCGTATTCTTGAGTGCCCTCAACTTCCGTCAGGCCGCTGGACGTGCTGGACGTCGAGGTTTCGACATGCTTGGAAACGTCGTGTTCCACGGAGTTTCTCTTAGCAAGATTCACAAGCTCATCAGCTCTCGCCTGCCAGACCTTAACGGACATTTTCCCATCACAACGACATTGGTACTGCGCTTGTTCACGTTACTGCACTCGTCCGAGAACGCGCCATTTGCTGTCCGCTGCGTCAACTCTCTGCTCTCACAGCCGCGATTATATCTAGGCGGTGAGGACGCGAAGATGACGGTGCTTCATCACTTACGGTTCTCCATCGAGTATCTCCGGAGACAACATCTTTTGGATGGACAAGGTGTACCTTTGAACTTTGCGGGCGCCGTGTCCCATCTTTACTTCACAGAGAACTCGTCATTCGCTTTCCACGCGCTGCTAAAGGATGGATACTTCCACGAGCTCTGCGCAAAGATCGACACCAACAAGGAGGTTGTGCTCCGCGAACTTATGCTTACAATGTCACACCTGTTTGGTCGTATTCATTGCCGACAAGCCGATGAGGAGTATGTACAGGAAATCGTCAAGAAGAGTCCATCGATTGTGTTCCTACCTCCCATGCCGGATCACGCCGCAAATGTCCTTCGCAAGCACAACAAGACCACGCTTGACATCTTCACGGCTTACGTGCGCACATTTGTCGACCAACACATCCAGGAGCCGGATAACACCCTCCCCTTGACCGATGTGAAAGTCGGTGGAGACAAATCCAAGGGCCAGCCCAAGAATGTCAAGGCTCGTTCCTCGTTTGTTGCTCTCTCCGGATACGACGACAAGTTTGATTCGATTCACGATCTGTGCTCGACCAGCCGTTCTGGTGTGTTCCTTGAAGAGGCCGTTGTTCCTCACGTTGGCCTCTATCCTGAAGACTCCGATCTTCCACTCAACGCCTACTTGTACGACTTCTTCAACCATGGCGACGTGAACGCTTTGATCACGGCCAACAAGATTCGTCGCGGAGACGTATGGTTCGTGCTTAACGACTTGAGTATGACCCTTGCGACCATCACAACAAGTCTGTCAAGCTTCTTGGGCCTTGCCACAGAGTCCGATCTCGACTTCATCGACGTCCGTGGTGGTGGTGATGACGAGGAGGAAAACCGTGAAGACAAGATGCTGCCGACCGACGCCGCGACAGAGACTAGCTCAGCCACCACTGGTTCTGCCAACAAGGGTCCTGTCAAGCAGGAATTGACCATTCAGCCTAAGAAGAAGTTCAAGAAGAAGGTTGAGGAGTCTTGGGAGGATGAGATGGGTAGTGACTCGGCGGAGTCTGAGGTAGAGGAGAGTTGGGACGCTGAGGACGACGAGGACAAGGAGCCGCCTGCTTGGGAGGAGGGCGAAGGCTTGTTGAACGTGCTCAAGGCTTTCAAGGCTCTCAAGGAGGACTTTGACACCAAGTTCAGGGCCATGTGGGCCTAGTTGTGTTGACGTTGCGTATCAGGCACTATACACGTTTGATGCCTGGATACAGTGGGACAGGAGGTGGTGGTAAAAGCGTATTGAGTTGTTCTTACATTGTCAATACTGTAGACATAGAGTGCATACCAAATTAGATCGATGATGATCATGAAGGACGAAAAAAAATGTAGAGATTTATTCTACAAACGACTACTTTACATATTGTCACGTCTCCTGACTCAAAAGCTCAACAATGTTCTCCAATATATCCACTCCCGTCTTCTCACATGCAACAGCCAAATCCTCAAGTCCAGGTATCTTATCCAAGTCCCTCTGTGTCTGCGGCCTTCTTCTGACAATCAAACCAATCATAGTCCAT